CGAAAACCGCCGATCAAGTAAACGCGACTTTACCACGCGGCACCGCACGATTGACTAAGTAAGAAATAGAACAAACACTGCTGAGCGAGCCGGACGCGCCGCAACGCGATAACAAAAAGTTGTTTATTCACAAACACCGACAAGTATAGAGTGAGAACTATGAACAAAATGTGGGACAACCACGAAAAATCTCTGCTCTTAGCACTTAGCAAAGGGTACCGCACGAAAGTAGCGGATGAAGTTAGCGAGTACAAGTGCGTATACACATAACTATCAATATAACTCACGTTACGGAATTTTCTAGAATTAAATTTTGATAAATGGCAATACAAAATTAAATTCCGCATCTAAAAAAAATATTCAGAACTTACAGTATGACCGCGTTCGCGTGTTATATTAAAAAAACTACAATTCCTAGCGCAACAAGTACAAGTTCGTATACACACAACTATCAATATAACTCGCGTTGCGGAATTTTCTCGCAATAAACTTCGATACAAGAAGATGCAGAATTAAATTCCGCATCTAAGAAAATTATTCCGAACTTATAGTAAAACCGCGTTCGCGTGTTATAACAAAAAAAACTAGAATTCCTAGCGCAACGAGTACAAATGCGTATACACACAACTATCAATATAACTCGCGTTACGGCATTTTCTAGCAATAAATTTCAATACAAGAAGATGCAGAATTAAATTCCGCATCTAAGACAATTATTCCGAACTTATAGTAAAACCGCGTTCGCGTGTTATAACAAAAAAACTAGAATTCCTAGCGCAACGAGTACAAGTGCGGATACACACAACTATCAATATAACTCGCGTTACGGAATTTTCTAGCAATAAATTTCAATACAAGAAGATGCAGAATTAAATTCCGCATCTAAGACAATTATTCCGAACTTATAGTAAAACCGCGTTCGCGTGTTATAACAAAAAACTACAATTCCTAGCGCAACGAGTACAAGTGCGGATACACACAACTATCAATATAACTCGCGTTACGGCATTTTCTAGCAATAAATTTCAATACAAGAAGATGCAGAATTAAATTCCGCATCTAAGACAATTATTCCGAACTTATAGTAAAACCGCGTTCGCGTGTTATAACAAAAGACTACAATTCCTAGCGCAACGAGTACAAGTGCGGATACACACAACTATCAATATAACTCGCGTTACGGCATTTTCTAGCAATAAATTTCAATACAAGAAGATGCAGAATTAAATTCCGCATCTAAGAAAATTATTCCGAACTTATAGTAAAATCGCGTTCGCGTGTTATAATTAAAAAAAACTACAATTCCTAGCGCAACGAGTACAAGTGCGGATACACATAACTATCAATATAACTCGCGTTACGGAATTTTCTAGCAATAAATTTCGATACAAGAAGATGCAGAATTAAATTCCACATCTAAGAAAATTATTCCGAACTTATAGTAAAATCGCGTTCGCGTGTTATAATAAAAAAAACTACAATTCCTAGCGCAACGAGTACAAGTGCGGATACACACAACTATCAATATAACTCGCGTTACGGCATTTTCTAGCAATAAATTTCAATACAAGAAGATGCAGAATTAAATTCCGCATCAAAGAAAATTATTCCGAACTTATAGTAAAATCGCGTTCGCGTGTTATAATAAAAAAAAAACTACAATTCCTAGCGCAACGAGTACAAGTGCGGATACACACAACTATCAATATAACTCGCGTTACGGAATTTTCTCGCAATAAATTTTGATACATGGTGATACAAAATTAAATTTCACATCTAAGAAAATTATTCCGAACTTATAGTAAAACCGCGTTCGCGTGTTATAACAAAAAACTACAATTCCTAGCGCAACGAGTACAAGTGCGGATACACACAACTATCAATGTAACTCACGTTACGGAATTTTTTAGCAATAAATTTTGATACAAGGTGATACAAAATTAAATTCCGCATCTAAAAAAACTAATCAGAACCTACAGTAAGACCGCGTTCGTGTGTTATATTAAAAAACTACAATTCCTAGCGCAACAAGTACAAGTTCGTATACACACAACTATCAATATAACTCGCGTTGCGGAATTTTCTAGCAATAAATTTCGATACAAGAAGATGCAGAATTAAATTCCGCATCTAAGAAAATTATTCCGAACTTATAGTAAAAGCGCGTTCGCGTGTTATAACAAGAAAAAACTACAATTCCTAGCGCAACGAGTTCAAATGCGTATACACACAACTATCAATATAACTCGCGTTACGGAATTTTCTAGCAATAAATTTTGATACATGGTGATACAAAATTAAATTCCGCATCTAAGAAAATTATTCAGAACTTACAGTGAGACCGCGTTCGCGTGTTATATTAAGAAAACTACAATTCCTAGCGCAACAAGTACAAGTTCGTATACACACAACTATCAATATAACTCGCGTTACGGCATTTTCTAGCAATAAATTTCAATACAAGAAGATGCAGAATTAAATTCCGCATCTAATAAAATTATTCCGAACTTATAGTAAAATCGCGTTCGCGTGTTATAACAAAAAAACTACAATTCCTAGCGCAACGAGTACAAGTGCGGATACACATAACTATCAATATAACTCGCGTTACGGAATTTTCTAGCAATAAATTTCAATACAAGAAGATGCAGAAATAAATTCCGCATATAAGAAAATTATTCCGAACTTATAGTAAAACCGCGTTCGCGTGTTATAACAAAAAAACTACAATTCCTAGCGCAACGAGTACAAGTGCGTATACAAACAACTATCAATATAACTCGCGTTACGAAATTTTGTAGCAATAAATTTTGATACATGGTGATACAAAATTAAATTCCGCATCTATGAAAATTAGTCCGAACTTACGGTAAAACGGCGTTCGCGTGTGATAATAAAAAAACTACAATTCCTAGCGCAACGAATACAAGTTCGTATGCACACAACTATCAATATAACTCGCGTTACGGAATTTTCTCGCAATAAATTTCGATACAAGGAGATACAGAATTAAATTCCGCATCTAAGAAAATTATTCCGAACTTATAGTAAAATCGCATTCGCGTGTTATAATAAAAAAACTACAATTCCTAGCGCAACGAGTACAAGTGCGTATACACACAACTATCAATATAACTCGCGTTACGGAATTTTTTAGCAATAAATTTTGATACATGGTGATACAAAATTAAATTCCGCATCTAAGAAAATTATTCAGAACTTACAGTAAAACCGCGTTCGAGTGTTATATTAAAAAAGCTACATATCCTAGGGCAACGAGTACAAGTGCGTATACACACAACTAAGGGTTGAAGTGACTCGTGTTCAGGGCACCGTACAAAGGTAGCAGTAGACGTGACTCCCATTCAGGGCACCGTACGAAGGTAGCGGTAGAAGTGACTCCCAATCAAGGCACCGTACGAAGTTAGCGGTAGAAGTGACTTCAGGGCACCGTACGGGGGTAGCAGTAGAAGTGACTCTCATTCAGGGCACAGTACGAAGGAGGTTTTCTCATTGTATTGAAATATGTTCTATATATATACTAAATATATTCTAAACTAAACGAGATAGAGAGGATCGAATGGCGTATCCTTACAAAAAATTCTCTATAAGATAGGCTAAATAAATTAGAGATTTAGTCAATTTTAAACAATAGTTCATAAGAAAAAAACATGCAAAGAGGTGGGTCTTCTCATTGTATCGAAATATGTTCGTTAGCGATATCTTCTAAACTAAAAGAGATACAGAGGACCGAATGGCATATCCTTAACCTACGAAAAATTCTCTATAAGATAGACTAGTTAAATTGGAGATTTAATTTTAAAAAATCATGCAGAGGGGGGCCTTTTCATTGCCTCATATCCTTAATTTACGAAAAATTCTCTATAAAATAAAAATTGAAGATGACACAAAAAGACAACAATCATCCTTTATATCAAAATGCAATGGTTTTGATGAAAAACATCAAAAATTAAAAAGATGGAACAATTTTCCTACTGGAATTCAAAGGTGGGTGACCGAAAAAGTGGCACAACGAAGAACAAAACATTTCTCTGGATATCAAGGGAAAATTCGAATATTATTGTACATCATGTAAAACAGCCGGCAAAGAGCACTGACAAGATCGCAATCTGCAGCGAGAGCCGAGAATGTCAGCCGCTCATAAAACGCGATCAAAGAAAAAATGTATGGACCAATCAATCAAATAATTGAAACAAAATAAAATAAATAAATAAAAACAAAAATTATTTCTATTATGTCAAGCTATAGGATATTGTAAACATAACTAAATATTGTCACAGAAAAAAAACAATTTTTTCATATCCCATAAGAAACACGAGAACATACCTTGTTGCCAAATGAATTTTACACTTTACTGTTATCCAATAAGTTGTAAGCATTTTAATTATGCACATTGCAGGTATTGTGAAACACGCGTGTAATACTAAGACTATCCGACGGCCGACGGTACATCACTCATGCTGTACCTCTGCGTATATTCAATGCGCGTTTAACGAATACCGTAGATAATTCGCGCACAGTCGAACCGAGCAATTAGTAATAATATGAAATTACGCCAAAATTTGAGAAATTTAAAAGACTGAGGAAACAATGAGCGTGCAGACCACCGACGATTAATATGACACTGGCGTAGCCAACCGCGCGCGGTGAGAACGTGGAGACTGCACACAAGTTGAACCAGATAAGAAAACTTGTTTCTTTATAAACATAAATATTATCAGTATTGCAGTGTAAAGAATGAAGACAATTCTACATAGTGTGCATGCATTCAAATATCTCAGCCAAAACTTCTTCACTGCAGAATAAAGAAAGAGAAACATAGAAATTTAAAATTTTGATATTAGATTTAAACAACACAAAAACAGAAAACCCAATAATGTTACATTCACGTCCCAACATGTATTTCAAATTAATTATTTAATTAAATTTAATTTAAGGTAAAATTCAAACTAAATATTAAATTAAGGAATAGATGCATGTACAGAAAACAAAAATAAAATATATTTGTCCCAGAAAACTAGTACATACATTCATATTTTATATTGCACAAAATCACTTAGTTCGTCAAATATTCACGACCTGGCGATTCATGTATTCGGTAACTGAGAACGTCGCTTAAATATGAAGTTATTCAATTTAATCTTCCGGCAAACAGCAGTGAAGATGGTCTAACTGAATAAATAAACATCATGCACAATCCATCAACTGTTCCGGGTATTTCAGTTCGTTTTCAAAATTAATTTATCAAAATGTTCCCCCATAATGATCCCAGCATTATTAGTTAAATCAGACAACCGCCACTTCCTCAAATCCCCGTCTTTTGTCATCATTGCACTATTTTACTAACGACAAGACCAGCTTGACATCAATTAATAGTTTCATTATTGTATTACATTTGTTTTGTTATTTCTACACACATTTACGGTGCTAAATAAAAATGTTTTCATTAACAGTTGAATTTTAAGAATTTAGTAGGCCCACAGGCTCCAGTCTTTGTTGCCAATACAGAAAGGTCCAGAATATCGGAATATCAAGAATTCCATGAATATATGAAGCTTTTTGCACATTTGTCGACAAGTGCGCTTGTCGTTAACTAATGTTTTGTCGTGATCTGCGTTTAGGAAGTATTCTATCGATAAACGACACCAACTTTATTTGGTATATGGCAGAAAAGTAAATAGTATTCATATAAAGAAAAAGTATATACACGTTCAAAACATGAACATTTACAGTTTTGTATCATTGTATCAGTTTTGATTTTTCGTCTAGTCTATAACACTTCTATATCCGCTGACTTTGAAGAACAAGGAGCGTACGTTACAAGGAGGAAGTCGGAATGGTTCTGATTACACTGAACATCATTTACAATATAGTCAAGAAAAGATAAGTAATGTAACACACTTCTACACTGCATCAGCGCTTTTACCACATGTACATTACAATAGGTGAAAAATTAAATATAAATTAGGTGAAATCGACTCGTTGTGCACGGCACATACAAATTGTGGAAAGAGGACTCTTTAGCGAATACCCCAACTCCAAGTATTTAATGTTAACTTTAATTTTAAACGTTCAATACTTGCTCGATCGGCATTTTTATGTGCATTCCAAATAACATTCAAACTTCATGAATTGGTTTTTGTTTCATCATTTGAGTGTCAGTGTAAGAGTCGTCAGTCAGTCTTATAACAGCTATATGCACACGTATCGTTTAAACCAGGTTTGATTACATTTTCGTTATAATAGTAAAATACCACACCGTATAATCGGAATAATCATTTTGTAATGCTAAAGATATACAACATGTTCAACCGGCCAGCCGGTAGCAAGTTACGGCAATCGCCAATCATTGAAAATGTTTCTCCGTCTGGATAATTTCTGAGCATATGACATTCGAGGCGATTTAGAACACGACTTAAACTAACAAAAACATGTTATTGTCCGACTGTTTCCACTGTTATTACTTGATATCGTGATGAACAGCAAATTGCTATTTTTGATTATGATTACGTTTTGACTCTTAAGCTGCGGTGTGGGTGGTCATTTCATCAACTTGTTCGACAATAAAATTAATAAGTACGGGAACGGCCACTACATTAGTTCGCATCCAACCATTTATAAATCCCTCAAGTGTATCCAAGAGTATAGATAATCATATCTTTCTCAGTCTAGAATTATAAATAAATAAATATCATATCAGTGGCACCTACATGACCACTGCAACACTATATCAAATTATAAATATAGGTACACAACAATACATTTGCATTTAAAATTAGCTACCCTTTGGTGAATAAGTTTTCAATGACGCTGTAATGAATTATCTAATAATATGCATGTTTTGTTGTTTCGCGACTCTAAACGACCAGGTTGATCATAGCTTGGCATAGATATGAAATGCTTTGGTATGCTCATACAGTCAACAGGTCAGCAGAAGCTACACTTAGACGCCGGTCCAAGGTGCGCGCACATATTACTCAACCCCGACGTGACGTTTTTTACCAGGTTTGCTTCGTCTCCGGCGACCGCTTTAGTCGCGCCCATATTTTGGTTAATGTCGCTTGTGCTGCCAACAGAGTTGCGGATAACGCTGACAGCACGCGCGCGCAATGCTTCTACTTCATTAGGATTCGAGGTAATTTTATCGCGGGTTAGCGAGCCACAACTGCGGGCTTTGTATAATTTGTTGCGCCCAAAGAGATTCGGAATTGGCATGAAGATGCGCTTGTGGACTTGCAGATAACGACCAAGAAGTCGCATCTTCTTTGAACTAAGCTTGTTCTCTTTTTCATCACGTATGTCAGGCTTGGATTCTTCGATTGGCGGTTTATCCTTGTCCTTACGCGAGTAATGCTCGGACGCAGGACGTTTGCCACCACCGCCACCGCCACCGCCCCCATTCCCAATCGTAAAACCAAACAATTTAGCACCAAAACTCTTGGTTTTCTGAGTGCCATTCGCCGGCTGGACGATAAGATTGGCGGTGGCGTTGTTGGCGTCCTGTTCTTCTGTGATGCGATTAAGGGACTGGCTTTCGCGCAATCGCGTCTCGGTACTTCGACGACGACTTGACTTGTGACGCCGACCTAACATTGCGCCATTCGCTGTAAAGCCAAACTATTTAGTAAATAATATTACAATGTTGTAGGAATAATATAAACCCACGTGTAGTAGTGTGTTTACGTCCGCCAGCAGTCTCATTTCCATTGGTACCCTTATTATTATTCGAATTGTCGCTATTGCTTTGTACAGTGAAAGCAGCCCCATGTTGAGTAGTTCTCGTGGCAGTTCCGTTGGCGCCTGGCTCTTGTGAATCACTTGAATCATCGTGAGAATCTCGTCTTGGCTGCAGCGGTTTTGCACTTGTGTTTGTATTCATCTTGTGCGCACGCTTTTTTCGATTCTCACTGTCATCATCGCTCGCATCCGAAGAGCTACACGAAGCCGTCCTGGTCTTATGAAATTTAGTACGACGTTGTTCTGTATACCGACTACGATTCACCAGCTGTCGATTACCACTAGCTCGATTACCGTGATCGCCCTCCTCAAAAATTTCATTGAGTTGAGATTGCGGCGACGGAGATGCCGACGACATGGTCTTGTATTTCACGAGAGGCGATGTCGGGATTGCTTGAGTAATGGGCGCGGTCATTGTAGCAGCTTGGGTGATAATAGTAGTCGGTATCTCTATCTCGCCCATCGAAACAGCCGTTGTCTCCGGTATACTCGCCGACTTCTCCGACTTCCATTTACTTGCAGCAGTCAACTTTATATCCACCAACGTCTCGTGTGCTGAACGCGGCCGACTCTCTAACATTTTGATATTGCACACAGCCTTCGTACGAGGTTGTTTCTCCTCCTTGCGGCGCTCCGCCTCTGCGAGACGTTCCTGCAACGCAACATTGATGCGACCCTCGGAGCGACTGCCTCGCCTATTTAGCGAATTGTGCCCTCCAGCCAGATCCTCCCGCCCTGAACTAGATATGTCCTCCTCCTCTTCGTCCTCCTGCACAATGCTGCATTTGCGCGAGCGCTAAAACACCGAACAACAAAACAAACCTAATAAGACATGCAGTTATTGCAGATGGACAACCAGAACGTAAAACGGTAAGTGACAAGAGGCAAAAGCAAACCCCATACAAAAATTGTAAAAAAATAAAAACGAAACGAAACTTACAATCGACGTTTGGCTTTATAAGGATAGACTAACATGAAGATTGTTTGGTCTGAGAGCAAAATCAACATTTCAATCGATATTTAGAAGAATTGAGTGGCACGTACCTGCGGGACATCCCCTGGCGTTCGCGGTACGGTGAGCAGACATGCGGGCGCCGGCAGAAGTAGTTTATTCGACTGCGATTGAGCGTTGTTATTCGGCACGGCAAGATTTTCAGGTCGCTTTCCACCTTTTCCACTCTGTTCCTGACGTTTGAAACGCAATTTTCGCTCGGCGAGTAGAAAATACGTCGCGGTTATGTGATTATAGTCATTCTTATCTAAACATCTACAAAACAAACATAATTTTCCCATTTATTTTACCTTACATGACATAAATATTTACTCGTGAATTTCTTCTTTGGCAGCTATATTTCCATTGACCATCTTCGTAACAATGAGATTATGATCCTCCTCGGTGAGCTGTTCCCTCGACACCAACGGCAAGATATCAATCGATTCCGTCCTGGTGCGAGCCAACCACGGATGCGCAGCAATTTCCGTCAATGTTGCGCGCTTATCAGGAGCACGTACCAGCATTCGAGCTATTAAACTATATACGAAAAGCGACTCAATGAATATTCTGCGAGGCAAACATTCCCACAAAACTTACTCTTTGCATTCCTTTGAAATATGTACAGGAACGGTATATTTACAGTCCATGATCATTGTGAGTGTCTCCGAATCGTTCGCTTCATGAAAGGGAGCCTGTCCACACACAAGCATGTATAGAATGACACCAAGTGACCAAACGTCCACAGCGGGCGCATCATACGAATCACCCAACAAAATTTCAGGAGCTGAGTAAGCAAGACTCCCACAGCTCGTTTCAAGCTTTTGACCAGGCGAGAATTTATTACTGAAACCAAAGTCGGTCAACTTGACAACGCCCTGTTTCTCGAAAAACACAACGTTCTCGGGTTTGAGGTCGCGATGTACCACGTGTAGTTGGTGGCAGTAGGTAATGGCGCGTACAATCTGTGCAAAATAATCTCGCGCCAGTATTTCGCTAAGGCCCGACTCATGGCGCATGATGTAGTCATAGAGATCACCGCCGTCGCCCAGCTCCAGAATCAGGTACAGTTTGGTAGCGGTGTCGATCACCTCGTAGAGACGAACAACATTTGGATGTTGTACTAATTTCATGCATCGCACCTATACAATAAATATTTAGATAAAAATTCGTTTATTTATATATCACCCAGATTCCAATGGGGGACATACCTCCTGAAACAGGTGCGCTTTGGAAACACTATCCAATTTGCTTTTGTCGATCACCTTCACGGCCACTTTCTCGCCGGTGAAGACATGCCTCGCTAATTTGACGACGGCAAAATGTCCCCGACCGAGAGTCTCCTCCAGATCGTAGAGTCCGGCAATCTTCCCATCGTAAACGCCAGTCTTGATGGAAGTGATGGTATGGGTACTCAGGCCCCCTATTTTATAACTCTTCTGCATCTGAAAGCAGAGAAAACTTCAATTTCAAATATGCAACTTGTGAAAACAGCATTAGTTGCGAGAGAAACAAAGCTCGAGTGGAAAGTCGTTAAATGCAATGAAGCGATAAAAACAAAGCTAGCTCAGAGGGCGAATGTGCGCGCCCCGATTGAAGGTTGCCAACCTCCAGGAAAGCCACAACGCAAGCGCTTTCCGCGTCATTCTTCATAGACGAAAAACGTGTTAATAGAAACGCAAATTATTACAAAATAAAAACATAACAATGTCACAATGTTAACTACGTTGTACAGCGGTGAAAATGTAATATTTGTACAAAACGCGTAGATAAACATTATGAAAACAACATAATTGCGTCTATCATTAACAATCCTAAATTACACTTAGTGTAATTAACGCGTAAAAACAAAAAAGTGATAATGGGACATGGCTGGAAAATTGCGAAACAGAGGTTTTGCGTAAATGTTTAAAATGAATAACAACTTATTTATAACCAAAAAAACATCGACCTCAAATGTTTTGCTAATAAGCTATAATTACTCAATAAATTTTACATGGGCGTTTAAAATATCGTAAAAGATATCTTTAAAACCTTTATTTTAAGACGAAACGTCGCTTTCTGAACGCAACTTTAGATATGCGCGCGCGACAGCAAGTGTGTACGCACGTAAGAGCATAATAAACAAACGGAATAGATTGTAGCTTCCTATAATGTACACTTTCATTCGTGCAAATAGCCTCTACGCAATTTCCCAACCCTCGTGTCCCGAGCATACTATTCACCGCGCAATCGTGACGGAAACACGACGAAGACAAAGGAGAATCAGTGTGACAACATATCACAATTGCTAGAGAACATGAATACATATAAGATAATTTAAAACGGGGATATATTAAATGCACTTTAGTTAAAATACAATCCACTTGAACAGCCGCACTTAAGTTTTCATACTTTGCACTAAGAAATTCATATTATGCACTATAGATTGTATAACTTATATTTTAATACAATGCACTTATATATTCAGGTTTAAGCTTAAATTTGCTTTGAATCAACTTTTTAAATAGAAACTTCATAATTTGTTGTGTTGGGGTGGTTGGGGGGTTGGGGGTGGTGGTTAGGTAGGCTACCTTGTTTGGTATTATTTGAGGGGCGGGGGTGATAGAAGGGGCCGGCTAAGAGTACGGCACGTACTTAATACTGCAACTTTTATAAGTGCAAAGTATTAATTTCATAGTGGAAAGCATTTTATTCAAGTGGAATTCATTTTTCAAAGTGCAAATATTTATTTTTAAGTTCAGTTCTGTATTTTTAAGTGCAAACATTAATTATAAGTGCATTTAATGAATTGACAAGTTAAAAATCGAAAAAATAAAGTTCGTTTAATTACATGCCATTTAAAACTCCTAGTAGCAAACGAATGCTACATTTTTATCGCTGTAATTTAACAACTATTTGTGAGCCAGCTAATGGCGATAACAAAGAAAGTATGATTAGCTTTCTTCGGCAATTTTCGAAGTACAAATGTGTATCATTAAATTATATTGGTCAAATTACTACCATGTTTACGTTCGTATTCGCACACTCTCATTACGCTCGTGTCGTATTTTTATTTCAGCATCCCGCAGTCACACTGGAATTCGCAACAGTGCCGTCGCCAGCATCGCATTGCGAAAGCGCGTTCTACGAGGCGACCCAATTGAAAGAAAATCAAGGCTAAATTTAGCGCGTTTAATCGCGCCGCGACAAATTCGCACCCGGCGTCGTCGACGTCGGGACGCCTGATAATGAAATTTTCATTGGCTAGCAAGGCGCTCTTACGACATCCTTCCATCTGTTGCAGAACGTCGTCGACGTCGCGTCGTCGTTCTGAAAGAGCGTATCGCAAAAAAGCAATGCCAATCGCTTCGCGCACGTGAAAACGTAAATAACATTCGGTCCACCGGAAACGATCTTACGACATTGCGCCAAGGAGCTTCTTTGACGGCGTCACTAGACGCGTCGGCCTTGGGGCAGGTTATTTTAAGTCAAGCAAACGCAAAGTGATTTTCCCCCTAAACGCAGCCAGAAATAAATCTAATGAAATGAAAAAAAAAATGGAGGTGAACCAAATTGGATTATTGCAGTGACCTAAGTGTATCAGTCATGTCATCGGTTGCATGCGCCTGAATGAGTCTCGCGAGGAAATCGCGCTAAAAATAAAGTATGCGCCATAAAAACAGTAATCTAAACAACGTCTATGACTATACCGTGCCTGCCTAAACAGCCACTCACTCACTTTTTGCCCAATTCACAAATTCCACGCGAATTTAAATGCGCGCACGCTTCGCCCATTCATGCCACACGTGGAAAACTAACAATATATGCTTGGACACTTATATACTTTATTTCATAAGACTCGATTGATTATATCCAAGGCATGTTGGCACTCTGTGGTCGACCAGCAGCGGAAAAAAGAGCAGGGAGCGCCCGGTGGGCAGATGGCCAAAATGGGACATGCACGCTTCTGATATATTATTAAGACGACAAATGAGTATTTATATCGGCACGTATAATAATCCACTACACATGCCTGATCTATGACGGTGGCTTTTGTCACAACAAAACACGTAGGTATAATTAAATTCGCTTTACATAATAACATAATGCCATTTGATTGCTAGACAAATGCATATAATAAGTTTAAGCACATAAACAAATTATCTACGAGCATGTTGAAATCCATTCACATTCACATGACAAAAATAAATTCAGCTTAAAAGAATTATTTATACATCTAGGCAGTAAAGACACGAATTGGTAGGCGAAGACAATATCTAGGGTAATGAATTATAAAATACTAACATTAAAATTTTCTATTTATGCGCAAATTGTTGAAAAATGTTATTCAATTATATCCATTGTTCTAGAAAATTCCAAATAGAATGAATAATTTCTAATTGGATGCCAATATAAAGAAAACTTAAAATGATATAAAATTATATTCTACATGAATAAATCTTGGAATGTTGGTGATATTCGACATTTCGCTCGGTTGATTCTTGATGAAAGCAAGACTCAGCAAACATTACAAACGCGCGCTTCCACGAAAAGTCCGCACTAAATAGCTGTAAATGATCACGTCAACTGCGGGCAAATAGACTTGATCAAAGGCTCTGCTAGCACGACCGAATTTACCACCAGTTAATGCTTACAATCGATATCACAACGACAAGCAGTAGCAATTTTCGATAATTTACCACAAAATTTACGAATCAAAATAATGTTATAACTACCATGACATCACTAGTTTGACCGGTCATAATAACATTCTTTATTGATAATGATGACTATCAACTAAAACAAGTCCTTCGGACTGTCACAGCGATATGCAAACTTCTGCAGCTGCTGTTGAAGCTTGTTGAACATACAAACTGAAAGCAATGGCGACGAGCATGCTGATAATTCTAACACTCACCGTTAATTAAAATCGGATGCTCGAGGTCCGCTTCTTCAAAGCATGTCGACGTCGTCCACGCACATTCACACACTAGGTCGCACACATACGCACACGCGCACACGAAAGACGACGCTCTCGCACGTACTTTAGTTTGGCGTCGGGACGCGTCGCATTTTGTTGAGATGATGATTCGCACCGAATGTATTTGTCTCTTCTAGTTTATAATAATTGGAATGAAGTGCGAATGAATGTATACGCTGACCGATCGACCGTGTTATTCTGTGCGGCTGCACAATACAAACGAGATTTTGACGCGAAACCAACCGAGAAACAACAGCACTGATTAGCAACTGACACAAACTGACACATCTTGGGCCGCTGACATTTCTCGATAGGCGGGGTAGAGCGGAGTCGAAAGGCGTGCATGTACAGTGCCATCTGTGGAAAAATAGTATAATGAATAGCCATGTTTCAAACCAATATTATAGGGAATAAAACGAGAACTAGATTAAATGGTTCATTCTCCAAACTGAAGAATAACCTCTAAAGATAAATACGAACACAATCGTAATGTTATTAAAACTTTGTTAATGCAAAATAACTAAGTTTTAGAATAAACATAAGAAATGTTAAAAATCAACAGATAAAAATGGAAGACACTAATAAAATAATGGAAGAAGAAAATACCAGTATCATTTCTGATACGAAAGAAAAACAACCCTTACAGACTCCATCAGAAGAATGTTCAGACAACAAATTAAATATTAAACCTGAAGATCATGAAGCAACTGAAACAACACCAGAAACTAATTATGATTCCAAAAATGTTCATTATGAAGGGGATGATGCCATATATACAGATCCAACTTCAAAATGCCAGTACAAATGGAATAAAGAGAAGAATGAATGGGAACATTTTACAAGTACAAAAACAGAATATGAGTATGGTTTTGAAGATGATACTCATACCTACACAGACAAAGAAGGAGTAAAATTCTTTTGGGACAAAGAAAAAAATGCATGGTTTCCCAAAATTACTGATGATTTTATGGCTCAGTATCAATTAAATTATGGCTTTGTGGACAACACCAACTTGAAAATAAATGTACCAGTGGTAAAGCCAGAAAATGATCAACCAAAACCTAAAAAGAAAGACTTACCCAAGCTATTGCCTGGTCAGAAGAGAAAAGCATCTGAACCTACATGGTTTGAACTGGATGAGAGTAAAAACACTAAAGTTTATGTCAGTAATTTACCTCTGGACATAACAGAAGAAGAATATGTTGAATTAATGCAGAAATATGGCATTATCATGAGAGATACAACAACAGATCAACTGAAAATCAAGTTATATAGAGACCCAGAGTCAAACAATGTTAAAGGTGATGCCCTTTGCACTTACATCAAAAGGGAAAGTGTGAATTTAGTACTAAAGCTATTAGATGGTTTGGAATACAGAGGAAAAACAATCAAAGTTGAACTTGCAAAATTCCAAATGAAAGGCACCTATGATCCTAAACTGAAACCCAAAACTAAAAAACGCAAAGAAAAAGAAAAGTTGAAACGCCAACAAGAGAAGTTATTTGATTGGAGGCCTGAGAAACAAGTTGGAGAACGCGGAAAACACGAACGTTGTATCATTCTAAGAAATTGCTTTGAGTCTAAGATGTTTGATGAAGACGTAAGCTTGATTTTGACCATGCAAGACGAATTGCGTAGCTTGGCAAGCCAATATGGTGCAGTGCGTAAGGTAATAATTTATGATCGTCATCCAGAAGGTGTAGCGCAGATCAACATGAAAGAACCAGAAGATGCCGATCAAGCAGTGGTGAAGTTAAATAACATCATATACAGAGGGAGAAAGGTCACATCTGAGATATGGGATGGACGAACAAAGTTTAAGATTGCTGAGACCGATTCGGAGATTAACCAGCGATTAGAAAAATGGGACGAGTTCTTGGAAGCTGAAGAGAACGCAGAGAAGAAACTAGTAACTGAGAAAGAGTCTGTAGAAGTACAGTAATTTTTTAAATAAAGATTTATCTTAACATACTATATTAAGAATAATTATTTCTTGTTCCCTATCTTGTGAATTTACAGTACTAAAAGGCGCACAACGTCGAGGAAATAGCGAACTACCCCCACCACTTTTTGCCGGTTGCCCTCCAGGTATACAAGACCAGCATGCAGTAGTTTACAAAGAGGTCCCTTAGACAACATATTCAATTAAATATCAATTGAATTTTGTCATATTAAAGACTTTTCTGTGCTAAGTGCTAATTCTTGCAACAAATCACTTATAATCACGACCTAAATAGATTATTTATCTCAAATTTATGAATATTTATTATAATATTTAATTACTAAGCAGACGAAATGTTTTTCGAAAATTTGCAATGCTTAATAATATTCAAGCAACACTCTGGTACATTTTTTACATTTCTCTTTGATAAAAGCACGCTTATCAGCTGCAATAACTGAATAAAAAAATGTATTTATGCAATCGTTCATTTCACATAATTGTCCTGCATGTTTACCGACTTAACAACTGATTATCATTATGTATTACGTATGTTATTATTACATATTAATACTTGATAAATTGAAATGTTGCACTGGCTGTGTGTCTTGCTCACGCCAATGTAATCGACTGAAACTCGCTTGACCTTAATAGTCGTTCACCAACGCCACACAGGCAGTTAACATTAGATTGTCGACAAAGCAACACCGAATTTACATACTCTATCTTTGACTGTCAGTAGCAGTGCGTTGTGAAAAGTTTTGGTCGGGACCAGTGTGTTTTACCAATATCTTTGAGAAAAATGGCGAAAGTCAGCGTGGATCTACCTGATATCGAGGTAAAACTAAACAAGAAATAAATATTCAACAGTTTGCGATAGTTAAAAACGAAAAATTCTAAGTTATAAAATATGTTGGTATTACGCTTGAATATTTCCACGCAAAATACTAACGTGTGCGTTAACACTACGCACTATTCAATATTATTTCTAAAACATAACTTGCTAAACGTCTATAACACGCACTGCCTTTTTTTACAATTATTATCTATAACTCAGATTACGTAATCATCGCTTATATTTCCATGATTAATATGTTACGTTATGAAATAAAATTGCTTTATTTTCCAAACAAAATGCGAAAAAATATTACGCATAATTTTATACTTATCTTTACTTAAGCAAACCAACAGCATGACAAACACATTTCGCATAAAATAAACTTTAAGATTCAATTAAAGCCTGGAAATTTACTGAATGCTAAAAAATACTTGATAAATTCAGCAAAATCTGAATGTTTATCGCTATTTACTATCTAATAACTGGGATTGGTGTGATGTGAATATTAATTTAATTGATTTGATTATTCGGCTGCTAGAATCTATTGGCCTTGAATCCAAAAGTACATACGCACACGTCGCTTGTACCATCGGCGGTGACCAAAAAGAATAAAGCCCATTGGAAGCGAAACATTGACAAAAAGTGTGGCGTAAGTTAAATTTAAATTTAAAAAACTAAAAATGATTTTTAAAAATGTATGAATTATATTAGTCTTGCCACACTTTGGAAAATAATTTCAATGACATCAAACCAACAACTTTGAGCGAACGTGGAGCGTTGAAGGAAGCAGCTAGATGTCTGAAATGTGCCGATGCTCCATGCCAAAAGTCTTGTCCAACTCAATTGGATGTAAAATCTTTTATTACTAGCATTGCTAATAAGGTTAGTGAAGAAATAAAAAATATTTCCAAATATTTATTAATTCTCTGAGTTTAGAACTACTATGGCGCAGCTAAGGCTATCTTCTCCGATAACCCTTTGGGTATCACGTGTGGTATGGTCTGCCCTACCAGCGATCTTTGCGTTGGTGGCTGCAATCTACAAGCTTCTGAAGAAGGCGCAATTAATATTGGAGGATTACAACAATTCGCCACTGAAATCTTTAGTAAAATGGGCGTACGTCAAACGCGTGATCCACGCACTCCAACTCCGGTAGGTGCTGGACGTAAAATCGTTCTTTTGGGTGCGGGACCCGCCAGTTTATCATGCGCAACATTCCTTGGGCGTCTTGGATATACCGATATCACTATCTATGAAAAACAGGAATTTGTAGGAGGACTTAGCGCGTCCGAGATTCCTCAATACCGTCTGCCAATGACGGTCGTCAACTTTGAAATTGGTTTAGTTAAAGATCTCGGGGTAAAAATCGAATGCGGACGTGCTCTCAGCGCTAAGGACTTAACCATCGATGGTATTCTAAGCAATGGCGCACATGCAGTGTTCCTAGGTATTGGTTTACCTCAAGCTAAACCAAATCCATTGTTTGCGAAACTCACCACTGATATGGGTTTTTATACATCAAAGAGTTTTCTGCCATTGGTAGCTAAAGCTAGCAAACCAGGAATGTGCGCATGTAAAGCCCTAGCCTCCGCAATGCCAAAACTTCATGGTAAAGTGATTGTTTTGGGAGCTGGAGACACTGCCTTTGATTGCGCCACCAGCGCCTTGCGTTGTGGAGCGAAAAAAGTGTTCCTTGTCTTCAGACGTGGGTTCAGCAACATTCGGGCTGTCCCCGAAGAAGTTTCTCTTGCTATTGAAGAGAAGTGTGAATTGATTGGTTTCCTAACACCCCAGGATGTTAACATCAAAGAGGGAAAAATTACGTCCATTACTTTCGCTCGTAATTATGAAGATGACGATGGAAAATGGATAACTGATAAAGAACAATTGACTACCTTGAAGGCTGACTTTTTGATTTCGGCATTCGGGTCTGGACTTGAAGATCGAGACAGTAAGAAACCAAATAACTTATAACACAAATTTAATTCTAACTTATTTCTTCAAAATTTGTTTAGTGATTCAAGCATTGGGTTCCTTGAAACTCAAAGACAACAACCTTCCAGTAGTTGACCCGATTACCATGCAAACATCCCATAAGAGCGTTTTCTGCGGTGGGGACCTCGCAGGTGTAGCAGAGACAACAGTCGAAGCTGTGAATGATGGTAAAAACGCCGCGTGGAATATCCACTGCTACTTGCAAGCTATGCCTCATGATTCCAAACCAAAATTACCCCTATTCCACACCGACATCGATGAGGTTGACCTCTCTGTAGAAATGTGCGGAATTAAATTCGAAAATCCCTTCGGATTAGCTTCCGCTCCACCAGCTACCAGTACCGCTATGATTCGTCGTTCCTTCGAGCAAGGATGGGGCTATGCCGTAACAAAAACGTTTGCCCTTGATAAAGATACCGTCACCAATGTATCTCCTCGAATCATTCGTGGTGTGACATCAGGTCACAACTTTGGACCACAACAGGGTTGCTTCCTCAACATTGAACTTATCTCAGAAAAATGCGCCGACTACTGGTGCACATCAATCAAGGAACTTAAGAAAGATTTCCCGACCAAGGTTATCATTGCCAGTATAATGTGTTCGTACAATGAGAAAGATTGGGTTGAACTTGCAACCATGGCAGAAAAATCAGGGGCTGATGCTTTGGAACTGAATCTTTCATGTCCGCATGGTATGGGTGAATCAGGTATGGGATTAGCTTGTGGGCAGAAACCTGAATTGGTGAAAGGTATTTCCCAATGGGTCCGGAAAACGGTCAAAATCCCATTCTTTATTAAACTAACTCCTAATATTACTGACATCGTTACTATTGCTACTGCTGCTAAGGAAGGTGGCGCTGACGGCGTGTCCGCCATTAATACTGTCTCCGGATTAATGAATCTTAAAGCCGATGCCAGCCCATGGCCTGCTGTGGGCATTGATAGAAGAACAACCTATGGAGGTGTAAGTGGAAATGCTACACGCCCAATGGCACTTAGAGCTATAACAGCCATCGGGAATGCCTTACCAGGTTTCCCAATTTTAGGAATTGGAGGTATTGACTCCGCAGAAGTAGCGTTGCAGTTCCTGCAAGCAGGTTCAACTGTTCTGCAAGTATGCAGCGCTGTGCAAAATCAGGACTTTACTGTCGTTGAAGATTATTGCACCGGGTTGAAAGCTTTATTATATTTGGAGAACAGACTCCCTGGTTGGGACGGTCAAAGCCCACCTACCTACAAACACCAGCTAGGTAAACCCATTCCAAGCCTATATGATGCTAATGGTAAAAAATTGCCGCACTTTGGACGTTACCGAGAAGAACGTAGCAAACAAATGGCTAGATTACACGTGAATGCAAACGGAGAAATAGTTTCTGTTAACCAAAGTGGTATCCAAGATCCACCACCGACAAATGGAGTAAAAGTACCCAAATTAAAGGATGTCATTGGCAGAGCATTGAAACATGTTGGTCCCTACAAAGCGCTAGACAACAAGAAGCAAGTGGTTGCCTTGATCGATGACGTAAGATAATTTTATTATCTCAACAAAATAATAACACGTTACTAATCGAATGATCGTTGGATATTTTTTTAGGATATGTGTATAAACTGTGGAAAATGTTACATGGCCTGCAATGATTCGGGTTATCAGGCCATTCGATTTGATGCCGAAACACATATTCCAAAGGTCACCGACGACTGCACAGGCTGCACGATGTGTTTGTCCGTTTGTCCTATCATTGATTGCATCAAGTACGTTCACATAAATATGTATGTGTGCAGTTTACAATAATTTTATCTTTGTTACAGTATGGTGCCGAAAACTATACCACACGTTATCAAACGTGGCATTCCAGTTCAAAAGTTGATGCCGGTTCATCCTTTAGACAATTATTCTCCAGTTAATTAAGAATAGTTACTTTTTGATAGTTTGTGGATTTGTAAAATCAATACAAAACAAAATAAAGAATAACTGCATTAAAATTTTGATTTTGTCTTAACCGGTCGACAGCCATATTTGATTATACAAGAAATATTTGGCGGTAAAATGGGACTAACCTTAAAACGTAGAACACCGTTAGGTTCCCGCAAGAAATAGAAGGCATTATGATGCTCGAACTACTTGAAACACGTGCTCACTAACTTTTCTCATGTACTAGTGATTGCATGTTTAATATTCGATGTTTTTGTTGTTATCAAACACATTATCAAACAGAACGCGAACAATAACAAGACAAGAAATAAAATCTTAAAACTAATACACCTAGCGCCCCCTGCTGGAGATGGTGTCAAACCACAAACGCTAGTTATATTTCTAGTGACTTTCTGGTTCAAGCTTTTCAACTGTGCTTTTCAATGGCGTCGAGAACTAAGCTACAGTCAACATGACTTCAAAAGCTGCTTGAATGTGCATGCTTTTAAAGTTAGTTTTCTTCTTGAAACAATTAAATTAAATAGTTAAAGTGCATGGTGATTATCAACTAGTGTTCATCCACATCGCCCAAGGTAGGAATTCTTTTAAACCTTATACCTTTGCAATTTGTGTGAAACGTTTTACTAACGTTATGATTTGTAAAGGTTATGTTGATATTTTGCGCATCACATTTTATGTCCAATTTACCATCGAGTAATTAAGTAATTTAACAATTTTGCTCACTTCGTTCCTTAGATGTCGATGCCACCGTATTTGCTGGGTCCAAACCCATGGGCCATGATGGCCCAGCAACAACTTGCAGTGGCCCAGGCCCAAGCACAAGCTCAGGTTGCTGCAGCTCAAGCTCATGCCCATGCCCTGCAACAACAATTCCCACCCCCATGCCCAAAGAACGACGTTATGACCGAAGAGAAACTGCAGGAAAAAGCTCTCAAATGGCAGCAATTGCAATCAAAGAGATTTGCTGATAAAAGAAAGCTAGGATTTGTTGATGCGCAAAAGGAGGATATGCCTCCAGAGCATATCAGAAAAATCATCAAAGATCATGGAGACATGAGCAGTCGAAAATACCGTCATGATAAGAGAGTATATCTCGGCGCGTTGAAATATATGCCGCATGCAGTAATGAAACTGCTTGAAAACATGCCTATGCCTTGGGAACAAATCAGAGATGTAAAGGTACTCTACCACATCACAGGTGCTATTACATTTGTGAATGAAATCCCTTGGGTGGCTGAGCCCATCTACATTGCACAATGGGGTACAATGTGGATTATGATGCGTCGTGAGAAGCGTGATCGTCGACATTTCAAACGTATGCGTTTCCCACCGTTTGACGATGAAGAACCGCCACTTGATTATGCCGACAACGTGTTGGACGTAGAACCGTTGGAAGCAATTCAGATTGACTTAGATTCAGAAGAAGATTCAGCAGTGGCAAAATGGCTGTATGATCACAAACCACTAGTTGGAAGTGGGTTTGTGAATGGTTCCACATACAGAAAGTGGAATTTGTCTCTACCTATTATGGCAACACTCTACCGGTTGGCCAATCAACTGCTTACTGATTTAGTGGATGATAACTTCTTTTATTTGTTTGATACCAAGAGTTTTTTCACTGCTAAAGCTCTAAATATGGCTATACCAGGTGGTCCTAAGTTTGAGCCATTGATTAAAGATGCTAATCCTGGGTAAGCAGACAAGTTGTATTCTATAAATATATCTATTGATTTATTTTGTTTTCATGTTTAGGGATGAAGATTGGAACGAGTTTAATGATATTAACAAAATCATTATTCGTCAACCAGTACGCACGGAATACAGAATTGCGTTTCCGTATCTGTACAACAATATGCCCCACTTTGTACATCTTTCATGGTAAGTTAAAGATTTTAACTCCTAATTATTTACTAAAAATTAAATATTATATTCACATTATGTTTTAAAATATTGTTGTGATCAAAAACATATTTTACTAGCAATGTGATATAAAAACGGTAGTGATTTCAGGCTCATTTAAAAGTTCATAAAATGAGTTTGCTGATAGATACCAACACTCCTAATTAAAGTGTTAGTAACCTTTATGTGGATTCATTTACGACGTCTCTGATATTAGCCAAACTTTACAGGTATCATACACCAAACGTAGTCTACATTAAAACCGAAGATCCTGATTTACCAGCATTCTACTTCGATCCGTTAATCAACCCGATTTCTCATCGACATGCTGTTAAAAGTCTAGAACCACTACCTGACGATGATGAAGAATATATTCTACCCGAAACAGTACAACCGTTCTTGCAAGAAACACCTTTGTATACTGATAACACCGCGAATGGTATTTCCCTTCTTTGGGCACCAAGACCATTCAACATGCGTTCTGGTCGCTGCCGCCGAGCTATCGATGTACCTTTAGTTAAAGGATGGTATAAGGAACATTGTCCTCCTGGCCAGCCCGTTAAAGTACGCGTGTCCTACCAGAAGTTATTAAAATACTTCGTTTTGAACGCGTTGAAACATCGTCCACCAAAGGCGCAAAAGAAGCGATACTTGTTCAGATCATTCAAGTCTACAAAGTTCTTCCAGACAACTACTTTGGATTGGGTAGAGGCTGGACTACAAGTTTGCAGACAAGGCTACAACATGTTGAACTTGCTGATTCATCGTAAAAATTTGAATTATCTACATTTGGATTACAATTTCAATTTGAAACCAGTAAAGACTTTGACTACGAAAGAAAGGAAAAAATCACGATTCGGAAATGCTTTCCATTTGTGTCGTGAAATTTTACGATTGACTAAACTTATCATTGATTCGCATGTTCAGTATCGCTTAAATAACGTCGATGCTTTTCAACTTGCTGATGGTCTTCAATACATTTTCGCTCATGTTGGCCAACTGACTGGAATGTATCGTTACAAATATAAACTTATGAGACAAATCCGGATGTGTAAGGATTTGAAACATTTGATTTACTACCGATTTAATACCGTAAGTAGCTTTCTTCAGTAATATTTGCACTGTGCATTTGTTATAATGTTTATTTTTTAACAGGGACCAGTCGGGAAGGGCCCCGGCTGTGGTTTCTGGGCACCTGGATGGCGTGTGTGGCTCTTCTTCATGCGTGGTATTACTCCACTATTGGAGCGTTGGTTAGGTAACTTATTGAGCAGACAGTTCGAAGGCCGTCATTCTAAAGGTGTTGCTAAGACTGTTACAAAGCAGAGAGTTGAATCGCACTTTGATCTTGAATTGCGTGCGTCTGTAATGCACGACATTGTTGATATGATGCCCGAAGGTATCAAACAGAACAAAGCCAGAACTATTCTACAACATTTATCGGAAGCTTGGCGTTGCTGGAAGGCTAACATCCCGTGGAAAGTACCCGGATTACCTATTCCGATTGAAAATATGATTTTGAGATATGTTAAGATGAAGGCCGATTGGTGGACGAATACAGCTCACTATAATCGGGAACGTATACGACGTGGTGCCACTGTGGATAAAACAGTATGCAAAAAGAATTTGGGACGTTTAACACGTTTGTTCCTCAAGGCAGAACAGGAAAGACAACATAACTATTTGAAAGATGGACCCTACATCTCTCCTGAAGAAGCTGTGGCTATCTACACGACGACTGTTCATTGGTTGGAAAGTCGCAGATTTGCGCCTATTCCATTCCCACCGCTTTCTTACAAACACGACACGAAATTGTTGATTTTGGCGTTGGAGCGCCTCAAAGAAGCATACAGCGTAAAATCTCGTTTGAATCAAAGCCAGCGTGAAGAGCTGGGATTGATTGAACAAGCCTACGACAATCCGCACGAAGCTCTGAGTAGAATCAAACGTCATTTGCTCACACAGCGCGCATTCAAAGAAGTTGGCATCGAATTTATGGACCTTTACAGTCATTTGATTCCGGTTTACGACGTTGAACCGTTGGAAAAGATTACAGACGCTTACCTTGATCAATACTTGTGGTATGAGGCTGATAAGCGACGTCTATTCCCACCATGGGTGAAACCTGCAGACACGGAACCACCGCCATTACTCGTCTACAAGTGGTGCCAAGGCATCAATAATCTTGAAGATGTTTGGGATGTGTCCGAAGGCGAGTGCAACGTTCTGCTTGAATCTAAATTCGAAAAATTATATGAGAAAATCGATCTTAATCTGCTCAATCGTCTGCTGCGACTTATTGTCGATCATAATATCGCGGATTACATGACCGCCAAGAATAACGTTGTCATAAACTACAAGGATATGAACCACACCAACAGTTATGGTATTATTAGAGGATTACAATTCGCATCATTCGTCACGCAATATTACGGCTTGGTGTTGGATTTACTTGTCCTCGGCTTACAACGCGCTAGTGAAATGGCTGGCCCGCCTCAAATGCCGAATGATTTCTTAACGTTCCAAGAAGTTACCACTGAGACATGTCATCCCATTCGTCTGTACTGCAGATACGTGGATAGAATTCATATGTTCTTTAGATTTTCCGCCGAAGATGCGCGTGAATTGATTCAGCGCTACTTGACGGAACATCCTGATCCCAATAATGAGAATATTGTCGGTTATAACAATAAAAAGTGTTGGCCGAGAGATGCCAGAATGCGTTTGATGAAACACGATGTCAATTTGGGTCGCGCTGTTTTCTGGGATATTAAAAATCGTCTCCCGCGTTCGGTTACGACGATTCAATGGGAAAACAGTTTTGTCAGCGTCTACTCAAAGGACAATCCGAATTTATTGTTCAACATGAGTGGATTTGAATGCAGGATTTTACCAAAAAGCCGCACACAGAATGAAGAATTCACACATCGCGATGGTGTTTGGAATCTACAACACGAAGGAAGTAAAGAGCGTACAGCACAATGTTTCCTCAGAGTAGACGATGAGTCAATGGGACGATTCCATAACAGAGTGCGTCAAATTCTCATGGCGTCTGGATCAACAACATTCACGAAGATTGTAAACAAATGGAATACTGCTTTGATTGGATTAATGACCTATTTCCGAGAAGCAGTTGTAAACACTCAGGAATTGTTGGATCTATTGGTTAAATGTGAGAATAAAATCCAGACTCGTATTAAAATTGGTCTCAATTCGAAAATGCCAAGTCGTTTCCCACCTGTGGTGTTCTACACACCTAAAGAATTAGGTGGGCTGGGTATGTTGTCGATGGGTCACGTCCTTATACCTCAAAGTGATTTAAGATGGTCGAAACAAACCGATGTTGGCATTACACATTTCCGTTCTGGTATGAGCCACGATGAAGATCAACTTATTCCTAATTTGTATCGATATGTACAACCATGGGAGTCTGAGTTTATAGATTCACAGCGTGTGTGGGCAGAGTATGCTCTCAAAAGACAAGAAGCTAATGCACAGAATCGTCGTTTAACATTAGAAGACTTGGAAGATTCGTGGGATCGCGGTATTCCTCGAATTAACACTCTCTTCCAAAAGGATAGGCATACACTTGCATATGACAAAGGTTGGCGTATCAGAACTGAATTTAAACAGTATCAAGTCTTGAAGCAGAATCCCTTCTGGTGGACTCATCAAAGACACGACGGTAAATTATGGAACTTGAATAATTACCGAACTGATATGATTCAAGCTCTTGGTGGCGTGGAAGGAATTTTGGAACACACACTATTTAAAGGAACTTATTTCCCTACATGGGAGGGTCTCTTCTGGGAGAAGGCGTCTGGTTTTGAAGAATCTATGAAGTACAAAAAACTGACAAATGCACAGCGTTCGGGTCTTAATCAAATCCCGAATCGTCGTTTCACTCTCTGGTGGTCACCAACGATTAACCGCGCTAACGTCTACGTCGGTTTCCAAGTACAACTTGATTTGACGGGCATTTTCATGCACGGCAAAATCCCAACACTGAAAATCTCGTTGATTCAAATTTTCCGTGCTCACTTGTGGCAGAAGGTGCACGAATCTATCGTTATGGACTTGTGTCAAGTTTTCGATCAGGAACTCGATGCGCTCGAGATTGAAACCGTACAAAAGGAAACAATTCATCCTCGTAAATCGTACAAAATGAACTCATCTTGTGCAGATATTTTACTCTTCTCTGCTTACAAGTGGAATGTTTCAAGACCATCTTTATTGGCTGATACTAAAGACACCATGGACAACACTACAACGCAAAAATACTGGATTGATGTACAATTGCGTTGGGGTGATTATGATTCTCACGATGTCGAGCGTTATGCCAGGGCCAAGTTCTTGGATTATACCACGGACAATATGTCAATTTATCCTTCACCCACCGGTGTTTTGATTGCTATTGATTTGGCGTATAATTTGCATAGTGCATATGGTAACTGGTTCCCAGGCTGCAAGCCTTTAATCCAGCAAGCGATGGCAAAAATAATGAAAGCTAATCCCGCATTGTATGTCTTGCGTGAACGTATTCGTAAAGCTTTGCAATTATATTCGAGTGAACCGACGGAACCATATCTTTCAAGTCAGAATTACGGCGAGTTGTTCTCGAATCAAATCATTTGGTTTGTTGACGACACCAATGTATACCGTGTAACTATTCACAAAACATTCGAGGGTAATTTAACAACCAAGCCCATCAACGGAGCTATTTTCATCTTTAATCCCAGAACTGGTCAGTTGTTCCTGAAGATTATTCACACTTCTGTGTGGGCTGGTCAGAAACGTCTTGGGCAGTTAGCGAAGTGGAAAACTGCTGAAGAAGTTGCTGCTTTGATTAGATCTCTACCGGTTGAAGAACAACCTAAGCAAATTATCGTCACCAGAAAGGGAATGTTGGATCCATTGGAAGTGCATTTACTGGATTTCCCCAACATTGTCATCAAGGGATCCGAATTGCAATTGCCTTTCCAGGCTTGCCTGAAAATCGAGAAGTTTGGTGATTTGATTCTGAAGGCTACGGAACCACAGATGGTATTGTTTAATTTGTACGATGATTGGTTGAAGACTATTTCATCCTACACTGCTTTCTCGAGGTTGATTCTTATCCTGCGTGCTTTACACGTGAACACTGAGAGGACTAAAGTTATCCTTAAGCCAGACAAGACTACCATTACTGAACCTCATCATATCTGGCCGACATTGTCCGATGACGAATGGATTAAGGTCGAGGTGCAACTTAAAGATCTAATTCTTGCTGACTACGGAAAGAAGAACAATGTAAATGTTGCTTCTTTGACACAGTCTGAAATTAGGGATATTATTCTTGGTATGGAGATCAGCGCACCTTCAGCTCAGAGACAACAAATCGCAGAAATCGAGAAACAAACCAAGGAACAATCGCAGCTTACAGCAACTACCACGCGAACAGTAAACAAACACGGCGATGAAATTATCACCAGTACAACGAGCAACTATGAAACGCAGACGTTCAGCTCAAAGACCGAATGGCGTGTGCGTGCCATTTCAGCAACCAATTTACACTTGCGTACTAACCACATTTACGTCAGCTCCGATGACATCAAGGAAACTGGCTACACGTATATTTTGCCGAAGAACGTTCTCAAAAAGTTCATCACTATCTCTGATTTGCGTGCACAGATTTGTGCATTCTTATACGGCGTGTCTCCACCTGATAACCCGCAGGTCAAAGAGTTACGCTGTCTGGTGTTGGCCCCACAATGGGGAACGCATCAAACCGTGCACATTCCAACAACACCACCAAATCATCCGTTCTTAAAGGATATGGAGCCTCTAGGTTGGATTCACACTCAACCCAATGAGTTACCACAACTTTCTCCGCAAGATATCGGCACACATGCTCGTTTGATGGCGGATAATCCCAACTGGGATGGCGAGAAAACCATTATTATTACGTCGTCATTCACGCCGGGTTCATGCTCCCTAACCGCGTATAAACTAACACCTTCTGGTTATGAATGGGGCCGGCAGAACACAGATAAGGGTAATAATCCGAAAGGATACTTACCGAGTCACTACGAAAAGGTCCAGATGTTACTGAGCGATCGTTTCCTTGGTTTCTTCATGGTACCGAGCCAGGGAAGCTGGAACTACAACTTTATGGGTGCGTATTTCTTCTATTACTAAATTGCACTGCACTGCACAGGTGGAATGCGTGCTGATACCAAGGTTATGTTATGTTTTGCAGGTGTTCGACACGATCCTAATATGAAGTATGAACTCCAGTTGGCTAATCCCAAGGAATTCTATCATGAAGTACACAGACCGGCGCATTTCCTTAACTTTTCTTCTCTGGAAGACGGCGATGGTGTTGGTGCTGACCGGGAGGACGCCTTCGCTTAAAATATATTCGTTTCTTTTTAATTTGTATTTTAATTAAGTAACCCCGATGTGTACGGATTAGTTTATGTCAATAAGATTTTGTATTGTGTACATAATTAAATCACCTTTCGAAAATGACATGACTTGTATTGATTATTGATTATAACCCGGATACAAAATAGAAACAAGTGCAGTAATATGATGATGAAATGAATCAAGAAATGTTTCATTGATTAAAAATTCAAGTGATTCACATTTAATACCAATAAAAAACAATTATTTCATTCATGAGCGAAAATGATATGCGCTTGTCGGAACAGTTGTGTAGTAATAATGAAATTCCACGAATTCCTTTTTGAATACTAATGCAATCGTGGCGAAATGTAATATCGTCCTGTGGCGCAGAATGCGAATCGCAAACCCCGGGTGCATTTATTGCCCTGACTCGCGGCTATACCACACAACAAATATTCATTAGAAATGCCTACCCTGAGAGCAATACATTGTCCTGGCATTCGTTATCCTGTAAACCCTCCTTCACTTCATTGAAGGATGATTGTCGGATTTTTCTCGCGTGAGTAGGAAAAAGATAGCAGAGTTATAAAGTGAGAGTGATGTTGAGAAAGAGCGTAAAGGGATGGCACCCCCTACGCTCGTGGAATGCAATATAACGGCATGAGCAGGGCGCAACGAAGCGGCGTGATGTATGATCTCGATCTCGTGTCAGCCGGGCGGGTTGGTCGTGTGTCGGCGACATTTATTACCAACCTGCGCGATAATTTGGGGGAGGTACGACAACCCCAATCTAATAAGAGCGATCGTAATGAATCGGCTGTCTTGTTAATAAAATTTGATTTGATTTAATTGCCTCCACCACGTATAGCATACTAAAAATGCAATTCGTATACTTTGTGGACACAATTTCCGGTATTATTTGATAAGGAAATAAAGTTAACATTTGCAAAACTCAAACTGTTTAGATATTCCTTTGTTCCTATAATGTAATTTGACCAAATGTTACATTCCAACCGCACATTACAAGGTATTAACCATTAGAAACGGACACGACGACTGTTTTTGCTCGATACCAACACAGTTAGACATCACTCATTGTAGATTGTGATTTATGCTACGATTTCCGGCGAGATCTTCAGTCAGTAGCCGCGGTTTGTTATCGCACGCCGACGAAAAGAACAAAAAACACACGGCATTAGAAAGTTTGAACACCGCACGACGGATATTGTCAATTTCGTTATTGCATTTGCGTGAATGATGTGCACGCTCGCACCGTTTTATGTGGGAGTTATTTCGTGCGCTTTGCGAAGAGTGAAAGTCGAAATTACTCAAGTCTCACTAGATTCAAGCCGCGGCTTCAGCGTCTAGCTAGACTTAAGTTAAGTTACGTTAAGTATGTTTGCACGAGACAAGCGTCTCTTTTTTACACCGCTGCAGCGGTAGGTAAATTAGCAGAAAACTCGCACTCGCAGTAATTATTCGACTGAGCGTTTTTTTTTTCATTTTTCCGATTCATAATCGAACAAACGAACAGCTGGCCGCTCGGCAATATTTCGAATCTTTCGAATCTCGATTCAACAATATGTCATACACATACAACCGTGCATGTATACAATTCACGCACGTCGCGCTGCGATTGTGTAATAACGAGCGGCGTATGATTTTATGATTTTATTCGTTGCAATCGTAAATTACATTGCGCACATGTCGAGCGACAAGATGACGATATGACACACTCGTCACAGCCGGAAAGCACTTGTATAGAAAATATGGCACCTTTTTTCTCCAATTTACTTCTGTGCGCATCTTCACGTCTTGTTTCTGACTTTTTGCTCGATTTTTCACTGATTGCTACTGCTACTGCCTGCATGCGAGTACAAAGGTTGTTGTTGTGTGTGTTTTTTTAGTAAAGCTGTCGTCAGCACGCGGCTTGCACTCGGTAATCGGTATGAATGGAAGGAGGACGTCGTTAATTATCAAGGAAGCGGTCAATCGCTCGCATGCGAAGTAAGCAAGTAAGCAAGGAGGCGTCAGCGTCGAGTACTAAGAACACGTTGTCTCGTACACGCACGACGCACGGCATAAGTAACATTGTCATCCGGGATTTGATGTAATCAAATTGACCAGCTGTGCGCGCCGCCATGACCACAAGTCGAGTAATTATACAGAAGTGCTATTTTTATGCTTTGTTTTGATTAAATAACAATGACATTTGTTGGGTTTTTGTTTTCACTCATCCGCAATCTACTTTGGTGGCGGCTCTCACATTCACAGATGTAAAAGTACACAGCGCGGAGTTTTTAATAAATTTCGCGAACGCGGCGAATGTAAATATATGCATCCGTGGTGCGCAGATTGTGCCATCACGATTGTGGAGTTTTTGAATTTTTCATGGCGTACTCGGCCAGATGGCCGATTCCGCCGGGTGACATACGCGCACATTTCATTATTGGAGCGGCGGCGCAGCGCGCTCACCCGATTGTGTGTGCGTATATAGAGGAGCATGGTGATAAAAACAAAGACGCGTCGGATTCGCCTGTGCGCAATGTGCGAAGTGACAGTTGGTCGCTAAAACGCGACGCCGATTGGAAAAATGTAGCATTCGCCGGCGAGGCGCATCTCGTCCATGACCATATGTGAGCACACGTACCGCGACCGAGCAAACTCGTCCAAAGCGCGCGTATGTCGCTTGCGACAGACGGCACTAAATCGAATTTTCTCTCTGTTTAGAGAATCGGCGTGATTAGCGTGGAAATCAGCATTGATTCAAACTTATTTGCATTCATAACATCAAATAACACGTTTTGCATACGGCGTGTTTTTCCTTCACTGACTTAACTCAAGTCACTTCAACTTCCTTCTATTGACTGAATGAGTAATCCTGATAAATATTTATCGACGTGCGCATTGACTAATTGACCATTGTATGGTTTCGTCTGCAGATAAGTCCATCATCGGCGTTGTCAGTATTTAGTCTTCTTCATTCTTCAGTGCTCCTCGGTACCGTACCGACGAGACCGGCGCCACCACCCGTCGTGTCCGACAATGGTCTCGTCTGGACACGCTTAACATCGCATGCCATCATCCTCGAAAAGTCCTTATACCTTTACACACTTACACTTACCTTTGCCTAGATGCGGAGACGCCGAGATCTTCTAGTGGCACGCCGAAGACGTCTTGGGCGCTTACTCCGCCTTATATGGTCTCGCCCTGGCCGAGGATCCGATGCAGGTGTTTTTATGGTCAACAAAAGTGACAATCCGGTTTCGTGTTTGTGTTGGAGCACCGCTCGAAGAGTTATCTCCGCCGTTTACTGCGTCACGTTTTTTGTCCACTTCAATTTTACCTACAAATGCAAATACGTACACCTTAAAAGGTGACAATAGATAATAACATTTTCGGAGAAATTTTCTCTAGATAGTTTCAACGTCAACTCGGAGATCTAAGATAAGGGCAGGATGTCCGCTTTACGAGCTTGAGATACGGAATGCTTTTAATGCGTTGAGAAGAGCAATAACAAGGCATTCGAGTCTATTCAACATCCATTAGTGTTTTTCATCGATGGCAGAACAAGCAAAATGGCATGTGATTGGCAGCAATTGGTAGAATTAAATGCTTATTGATGTTCCACCTCGATAAGATGCATTGATAATCATCTTGTGTTCTTTCAACACCGGAAAATCAAAAAATACAAATTATATTTCGAGATTTATTCGTGAGCAAAAACAACAAACGTGTTTCACTTTTTTCTTTCGTTTTTGTCGTCAATCAAAACCTGATGAGACGTAGTCAGCGATTTGTTTACGTCCTATGCAGTGTCCTTGTACAGGATATTAACATTTTTTTACAGACGCAATCACAGCGTATAATAAATAAAACGTAACCGCAGCGAGGCGCAGCGCAACAAAAAAGCATCGAATGTAACCAATTTTCGAACCTTCTTCGCTCACCTTGTGAATAAACGCTCGATTATTACCGTGAGCACCTCGGCTACGAATCGCCTTGCAGATTTTGCGTGTTGGCAAGACAAATATGTGATCGACGGCTTCACCTAAGGTTGCATAACGAGCGTGCAGGTGTTTAAAGGATAAAATCCCAAATCAAATTAATTACGATAATAATTAATAAAATATAGTGTTTGGCCGTATCAGGTATCTGTTATTTTCTGCACTTAGGTAACCCATAAATCGGCTTAAAAGTTGATTGCCGATTGCGGGTGTGTTTTGCTCAGTTTTCGACTTGTTCAAACAGGTATTCTCTCCAGGGTGCACACGACGTGCACAAGTGGGCAAGTGGTTCGTCCCGACAGGTAGTAGTCGCTGTGGAATGCTGAAGCAGCTCACGTACCTTTGCACGAATCAACAACAACGCACACGTCCACGGAGCGTGCATACAATAAAATCAAAAATTACAAAAAAACACTTTTGGCTTGGCGTTTGTGTTGGTGGCGCCGGCGAGTCTGGCGGACACCTGCAACCGCCGGCCCAGCGAGAGAGCAACCGTGTGAACCGCTAGCCCGAGGCCACCGTCGAGCTCACCCACTCACGACCAACATCTCTGCCAGCGCGCACAGCGTTGTGGACCAGCGATCGAGGAGCACTTTGTTTCTTGTTTCAACCGCGAGACTCACCTACAGTATGATTCTACACCACAAACTTTAGATTAAAATATTCTGTAAATATAGAAATTTTCTGCATCATTCAGTAGATTGAAAATGTTTGAAAACTACCGATCTAAATCTAGCAATATCAAATAATTGTGTGTGGCGCAAGGAGGTCCAGATCACGAGTGCGTAATTTATTATAACTGCCCAACTTTCAACTCCGAATGCCACCGCGTGTGCTGACTGGTATTAAAAAAAAAACCGAAACGCGCCCGCCGACGAACGTAAATTAGCACCATTGCTAAATCGCCGCGTCGCGTTTGCTTCGGTTCCTCACAGGTGTGCTTTATTAACTTTTTTAATAATGCGCGGCCGGCGCGGTCAGTTTATTTTTTATTTTTATGGCCGCGCCGCGCTTTATTAGACCGAGATGACGCTTTGATGCATGCGCGGCTATTACTCTTTCTTCGAGCGCGAAAAATCTCATATTCTGTATGAATTATGAAAAATTCGGCTCGTTTTACACACGACTTGCGCGCAGTTTCGAAAATAAACGCACACCGCGACGCCTAACCAGCTTTAATTAATTTGCGTTTGGCAGTTTGTCAACAGCGCAATGGACATCAACATTAGACGCGCCGCACCCACAATTTATTCATATAATTTCCAAATATTAATCACTATTAACTATTTCTCACATATTTTCACAAGATATGATGATTTAACTTAGTATTCAGATTAACTTCTGAAAGTTGTAACAAGATTTAGATTTCATTAGCTAACTGTCGATGTAAACAAGCAAAACTTGTTTCGTGCACAGCGTGGCATCGCATAAGTAAATAAATAAGCGGACGGCATTAATTAATCAAGAAATAAACAAATTAAACCGCAATTAAAGCATGGAGCTACCGTTAATTAAATATATAATTTTATGTACCGCATAGAGTCGGCGATTTTCGAGTTGTCGTTCGATCGCCACGAATCTGGCTCTCGCGGTCGTGTTCGTCGTTTAATGTCGCGATTAACCAGCGCCTCGAACGTATCCACAATTATATCACCTAATTAATACGAGCACACATCCGCTTGCGTGCTGTTTCCCATCGCACCGTCGAGAAATTGATGTACTCGTAGTTTATCGAAGATCGAACGGAGTAATTATGCATCGGGAGTATCAAGACGGGTTTTGATTGCCAATAAAAACAAAACTTTAATCAGTTAAAACCTAGATTTTTAATTCGTGCTCATTTCCGCGTTAAACTTGATTCCCAAGACGAGAAAAGCGACTTTTTACTTCTACCCGTTTCCTTATTAGTTGAATTTCTGCTGCGTTGCACTGCAGTGCAGTCAGTGTGGTGTTGTTACGGCAACGAGGTTGCGCCCCTGGGGGCGGCACATCATTGGCGCTTCCTGTCGCCTTCCGCACAATGGTTGGCGGCGCACATATCGATTGCCCAGGAAGACGACGCGCGGAATTTTCCGAAAAACAAAATGTTGGCAGCACGACCGAGAGCGCGGCGATGAATGGGATTAAGCGGATGTCCATAGAATCCGAATGCGCATAGGGAAATCGATAATAAAACGAAACGAAATGCACGTGCACTGTCGAAAATACCCGGCGCGACCGGGTCTCATTAAATCTAACGAAGCCACGTGCATGCGAGCCGCGCGCGTCTAGCTAAGTGCACTGTGGGTTTTCATTTATTCAAAGGGGAGTTCTGGAAGCTGCCTCCACAGTCAGCTAGTCACTCACTTTGAAGATAGACGCGCGACGGCACGAACAACTGTTCATGTTGCACATGCACAGACTAATGTCGTTAGCGACCCGTGCACGTGTCTTTTAACAGCATTGCAAAAATAACATTTCACCAAATTAAATTTCACCCAGAAACAAAATTAGCGCGCTATGTGATTATGCACAAAGATGTGATTTATTTATTAGCCAAACAAAACACATCTTCAACCACATATTGATAGAATTTTTATTAGTTTATCTCAAAAAATTAAAATCGCAGGTATTAAGGTTTGATATTCTGAACGTGGTCGAAGAAGGGAGATACTCAGGAAGACACTGGCGAGGATTAATAGCGTTTCGGTGATCGAGAGCGGCAATTGTTGCAACTCCCCGGTAAATTAGCATAGCAGTTGTTACGCGATTGCCCCCCCTGCCGCGACTGCCCCCCGCAGAAGCAGCACTTCTTCTTGTGATGGCGGTGTGGTTTATTACAGCACGTACACTGCGGTTCGTGTTGCGATTGTTGCTGTTGTTGCTTTTTGCACGAACACTTCTTCTTAGGGCTCTGGTTATGGCAACACAGCTCAACAGGCGGGCATGGATCACACCTAGGTAGAGGTGGGCAATTGATCCAACGCACCATCTCCTGACACTTTTGTTCTACCTTCGAAGGTGTATCGTGAAACTCAACCTGCCAGCCCACTGGTTCCGGATATGGACATTCGGGAGATTCAGAGACCCACGCCAGCCCAAAGCGGCCCTTCACCTTCGGTTCATAATCACACTGGAAACAGCCATTGCTGTCCACCAGGAAAGGATCATGCGGGTCGAATCGGGACGACATCCTGGATCTCGTCCACGACGACCCACCTGCACCTAACGGTGGTTCGCTCTCACACTTTCGAGCGATTTTGGAGGCGGCGAATTTCGGCGACGGGCGATGACACGAAATTTCATATTACCAACAGTGACATTTTGCGACTGTATTCTTGACAGACAATTTTTACAACAATGTGGATTGTAATAATCAACAAAGTTCGATGATTGTAGAAATCGTGAATTTTTTTCTCGTTTTTCGATGTATTCTTTTGAGAATATGATGCATTTAGGGGGAACTTTGGGGTTATAATTGTTCGTGCACGTGCTTGATCCGGCCACGTGACCGGAACATCGTGGATGCCGCGTGGCGCGCCGGAACTAAGCCATATCTTTCGACTTGCTGCCATTGAGATTTCCACTCGTTACACCACCATATGACTCATTCTGTACGCAATAACACGCACACTCGCCATAATTTACGGTTTTGTTTCTTATTTCACAAGCAATCTAAAATTACCCACAACTCTCCACCAAATAAAACTCCAAAACTTAAAACTATCAAAATCCTCAAGATTCTAGATGACAAAATGATAAGTTCGCCCATCTATCACCCGGGTGTTATCAGTAAATACGTTAGCAAAGGATTTGGTTGTTTTCGGAGGGTTGCATCGATGTAATACCAGCCAGAATGCACCGGCTTAGTCGCGGACTTAACTCGGTTCCGATTATACTGATTACTCTGGTTGCATAGGGTATACATCATTGGAATATCATCAGGGGTTGGCTGGGTGTTTAGTCTTTACAAAACGGATCAAGTAAAACTAGTCATATTGGTTTTGGTTGTGCAAAAGCAGGAAATATGAACTAAAAGTTACTTAACACACTGACATTTAGATAGGTTTGCTGTTGTGGTTGTTGAAGAATTCAAAAAAATGCACATAAGAAGCATAAATATTTGAATCATGTATGGTAAAATATATCAGTTGTCAGTTGTCGACATAAGGATGAATTATCTTGCTTTGCAAGTCCGTCTAGCATCCGTATTTGGCGATGCAGAATGCTGTCGATGCAATATATTTCTTGTCATGTAGAGTTGATACTTGTCATTTGCGGCGCGCCGCTTGTCCTTGCCCAAGACGTACGCTGATTCCGCCTCCCATAAAAGGATCCCGTTATTTTTTTAATCATTTAACCATAAATTGAATAATGTATTGCATACTCGTATCTCTTACATTTTTGAGTAATTTATACGTTTTCTGTGCTATAGGAGGGTTGGTTTTCTGTTTGCTTGTGTTACCTATATACCTCGGGGCGGTGAAATGTATCACCATGGCAACTGTTGGTTCGGGGGCGGCGTAGTATGCTGCGTGCGCATCGCCATTTCCTCGTTTCCACGTTAACATCATGGCAGCCTGCAAAGTGTTTTCCTTTGTGCGCAGTTATATGCAGAGGGAAATTTTGTGTATTTGTGTATGTCTAGACTGGCTGGGGGCTGGGATCAATAAGTCAAGTCCACTGGGACAGCAAGCGAACCGCAGTCTGCTGGCACGGGCTAGGATCAAGCCGGAACGTAACTTTAAAGTTGGTTACGTAGCCAGCCAGGACTTTCGTCGTAGAGGAGTATGTACATAAATGTAAACAAATCAATACTCTGACGCTGGCGAAACAACCAAACTCAATAGGAATGAAAGGATAAAACATTGAAATTTACATATGTACCAAATATTTATCGGCGTAAATGCAAAAAGTGCACACGGGAGAAATTTTCGAATTTTGGGATAACTACAAACCTTTTCGTGAACTCCATACTGTACGATTTGAAAATTCCTATGAAAGGAAGTGAAGTTATGTAATAAAAGTATTACTGTTTATTGCAAATGTTTATGATTATGTTTAACCATTTATTTTAATCAGATCTATAAAATTATCACTGTATATCACGCCATAAATGTCAAATATTAAATGTAAACAAAATTATAAGAACTATAACTTTCTCTAGTTCCTTCACTACGCAGATAATTTATTTCCTCCTGATTCACACACTATAAAACCACACTATCAAACTTGAATATAATCAAAAATGTATTGCCATAATAGCAAAAAACGAACCCAAGAGAATGATCTCTATTTCAGCCGATTCTATTGAACCTGAACTGAATATAAATCGAAAAATATCGAAAACTAAAATGGGGTAAAAACCATACACCAGTTTAAATCATAAATATTTCATTTTATATCCTATGAATTTATCTCCGTTTGGTATTTGTCAAATACGAGTAGTTTATGAGGTTGTTGAAAGTATGCGAGTACAATCATTGCATGTATTTGGGGCGGATTAAAATTGGTACCGCGTCAAGTGCTCGAGTTGCGAGGGTTGCACCGTCGCAATCGGTGCAACACGACTCAATGAAATGTCATTTCATAATGGTAATAATACTTGTAATAATGTCCCGATAAAGTAGATGCATTGCTCGTTGCTCACATGGCAGAAATCCGCGCGTTTGCAAAGGGGGCGAGGGGGAGTTTCTCAGCTGGCCGTGAAATTAACACATCTTTAGGTTACACGAAAACGCAATCTGTCGTCAACGAAAGCTTTTTCTATACAGGGAGTGGTAATAATTAACATTAATTGTAAAAATTTGTTGTTAAATATTTTCCAAGTTAAATAACTAAGAATTTCTTCCTTGTTTCAATATTGAATTATCTTGTGTTAATTTTTTACAAATTTAGCACTAATTATTGTATCATTTAGTATACAGTTAGTACCTTCAGAAAGGTTATCGACTTCTTGTGCACTTGCTAGTTCTTCTCGCCGCAGTGGGTGTAATAAAAGCACATCCCTTGTCCGCTACGAGCGTATAAAGCCATTCGGTCGATGATAAAAAGCGAGCCGGGATTCTCGAAGGGCGAAAAGGCAACGAGAGATCAGGCTCACCCTCGCTCGATCACCATGACGAGCGGGAAAGCAAGGACGAATGTGTGGGGGCGCAAAATGTTGCTTATATAAGGGTAAACCACCCTACGCAATGAATACATCTAACTGATTAGAGGAAAAAGTCCAACACCAACCAACAAAAGCATATACTAGAAAGATTTAAAGAAACTAACAAATTCTAAACAAAAATTAAAAAAAAAATTGTGAAAAAATTAAAAGTAGCAAAAGAAAAAAGAAGTTTTTTGTTGAATTTAAGAGTCTTTCTGATAAATGCGCACAATTTCGCTTCATTAAACCAAATCACAACCCCCAGACAATTCCGGAAATGAAAAGCCTATCCCTTCGATGTCGTAGCGGCTTCCATTACGCTGATTAGATTATACTGATGTAACACGAACGCCTCATGTTGTGAGGCACGTTCTCTTCCTGGCAAGTGGATTTTCCTTGCGTATACATTTATTCAATGCAGGGGTGTTGTTGTGAGTCACAACATCGATAACACAATAGTTATTTCTTTAAACTGTCAAAAAGCTTAAATTTGATGCTTTTTCTTTTGTCTGTCTGCTCACTAACGAGCAACACACGAGTGGACGTTGCATGACGCTAATCGTAATAATTATTACGGATGGTGGCCGTTTAAATGCGAGAGGAGGCAGCCGAGCATGAGCGGATCTTGATTAATAAACGAATTCGTGAATCGCCCGACGCATGCCGACACATTTTATTCGAGAGACAGGCGATATCGTGAATGAACTCGTAGGTGCGCCGTTCGCCAAGCGTGCACAATCGGCGGCGTTCCGGCGGATGCGCGCGAGCCGAGAGGTATCCGTTCATCTTCAACGCCGGCCAACATTGCCAACAATCACTAACGCATCCGTAATTGGCCGAAAAATTAATAATGGCTTTGTGTTATACATTTCACAATATTATTTCTATGCATGATGGTTGAAACTGTATTTATGATTATTTGCTAATTTTAGTTTGCGCACGGTTTGTATTTCTAGGTTTTATGTCGCAAATTGCGAAAACATAAAACATAATACTGACCTAAAAAGATTACACCTGCACATTTTTATTGCCTTCAATTTGTCCATGCTTTTTGCCAAGCCTGAGCAATCGCAATGATTCAATGAACCGTTAGTAGCGTTCCAGCAATTGTTGCTACTTATTGAGAGTACCAGTTGTTTTACGTTCCATCTAGTAACCTTCTGCACTCAGCAGCTGAGGACTTACTTAACAATGACACTAAACCACAATAAAACACAGTAACTGGGTAATTCTTTCATTCATCAACTGAATTAAACAAAACTTGGAATAACTTTAAGAGTTATAGGTTATGCGAACATAACTAGTGCGTTTTTAGTGTGAGGGCGTTGTAATCGCAACTTTTAATTCATTTAATAGACATAGAGGGCGCTGCATTATTCAGTATGTCAAATTTCGCATTTCTCCTAAAATGATTGACTATAGGAATGTTTGAACATCTTTAACAAATGTTTACGTATAAAATCTGTACTTGTGCATGCGTGTCGATGATAGACGCTGGTACACGCATGAGCACGCACGAGTGCTCCTCTTGGGTATGCAGGATGCTCGCGCTGGAATTATGATCGCATTAATTGTTATAAATTTTCCTTGCGGCACAGACGGCGGCCGTGCCACGTCCTTGAGCCGTGTTCGCGCCCGTCGCATCCGCGTTACGTTACATTTCACTGCGTGCATTTATTTACGAGACTGCAACAGCAATAATAACACTCGCATTGCCCGATTGTAATACATACACCATCTATGTAAGGACGTCACTGCGTCCGTAGTTGTTAGACATTATGCCGGTCTAGTCCGGTCGTCATTAAATAATGATTAAACTGCGCGTTTCGTAATCGCGGCCGCGGCTTGCAGCGCAAGGGCCAATCACACCACGTGCGAGGCGTTCATTCATAATAATTCACATAAATTCACATTTTATTGTCGTGTCGTGTGCCACTTACAGGCGAATATTTGCATTATTATTCAAATCATCGGCGGTTTTATTTTATTAACGTTATTTATATTATTATATTGAATTCATCTAATATTTTATTATTTATAACTAGGAATAAGGTTAGAATTGAAATGTCAACTTACCAGCATAAATAAAACTCCATTTTTCTCCCCAGATGGCGTGAATAAACTGCACATCATCACATAACCTAAAAAATAAATTCTATAAAAATATTCAACTAAATTATTATTTTAGAAGGTATATTATTGTTTTTTTGCATTTATTGATCATTTCCTATAATTTAACACGCATGACGTTATAAAATGACTTCACTATGGCGTCAGGGAAGTAAATTCATGTAAATAAGCGTATGTGCCGCGTGCACCGCGCACAATACGAAGAAAACCCGATCGCAAGCCGGTATACCGTATGAAATATGAATTATGTTACGACTTGTAGCTTAAGAACCGAACAAAATAAACAATCGCGCATACAATTAAGATATCAATAACAACATGCCGCCGACGAGTCGCCATCGTGTGTTTATATCCTGTTTCGAGTTTCACTCAATGTACGGGTGGTCGCATCATGACTTCTGCGTAACTTTCAATCGTTTGACATTCGAGAATATTTACCTTTAATGAAACATTAACGAAATCAATATTTTATAAAGATCTGCCTCAGAAATATATAAATTTTCAACGCAGATGGCGTTCCGTTGGAGTTAAAATATGCAAAAGGTTACGATTCCTCTGAGAAATCAAATAAAATTCGACTCCCTGCATGTCGATGCTGATTGTCGAACACTTTGCTCTCATTTCGCGCCTGCTGCCGGCCGAACCTATTACAATCCATCAAACGTCATATTTCATGCACCGCTCCGCAATGTTTGCGTATGCATTGTGACCTAACACGCAGCACGCATCAAACAGGCGCGCTCCGGCAAAGACCTTTAATGCTCGTAAATATTTAATCAAAGCAAATAGATTCGACCCTCCCCGTTTTTCATAACTCATTCATGTGGCTCGCGTGCTGCGTGCGCGCGGAGGGCGAACTAATAACATCGAAATAGGTGCAGTGTAACTCTATTATCGCGTGCTTTTATGGTCATCAAAGTGTCGAGCAGTTGAAATTTTACAGTTATTGCGAGAAAATAAAAAAATATATATTCTCAAGCTTCAATGAGAGAGTTGAAGTTATTCTCATGGATGGCATTCGTATTTGCATATTCATCAAGATTTAGATACTTTAGAATACCTACATTAGATCCATCCAAACTGTTGCTAATTGAATGTGCATTTTCGCATGACTCGCAAGTCGTATAACATCGCAATTTCACGTTGAAGAACAACCAGAGACGCATTAAAACTTATCATAAAATAGACCTACATATATTTAAAAGGGTATGCAACCAATTATACACATATAACCTAACTTGTCAGCTATATAACTAAAAGAAATGTTTTAAAATATGTTTTTAAGCCTTCTCTGTATAAGCAACACTTTACTACAAACTTTCCGGAGCTATACTGATATAAAGACAAGACAAGTAATGTTTTAGTACACGATTCACGTTGGTATCGTGTGCACTGGATTTTCTAATGTTTTCTAATAGCTGCGAGCGTTGAAGGTACAGCTACTCTTCAGCGTTTCCAATGTTTCCATTCAGCGCGCGAGGAAAATGCATGATATCGCTGGTAGTTAAGTACGCACGCATCCAAAGTGCTTTCGCAAAGTCGACTTTATACCACGGCAACTGAATTGAATTGGTAGGTAGGCATAGTATGCGTGTACGTGTCGCGGCGACACAATTAGCGCACGAGAATGCGCCCGGCAATACACCTGCACATAACGGTATTTATTTTGCAATCGCCATACACTCACACCGAAAACAATCGCGTGTAATTTTCAGCGGCGCAAAACGAAAACAATTGCGAGTACACCACGTACTCCACTCCATTTGCGAGTACGCTTGCACTCACAGAGCGTGGAATGTGATAAGTACGTTTTAAGTAAGTGTGCGCCTGTGTGGATTTTTTATGATTTTGGTGGGTCGTAAAATAAGTCAACGACGCAGGTGCAGGTGCGATTGTCGCGTTGAAAATAGCGCACTGCTGAGTCACACACACACTCGGCGCGCTCCGAGTTGTGTGGAGTTAAGTAAGTTACTCAAGTGAGAGAGCATCGCAAGTAATCAAAAAAGTGCGCGGGCGCATGGATGGCGATGTAAGTTGTGAGTACTTACTCAGTTACTTACAATAAAGTAGAAATACCTAGCGGTATGACTACCGCATTGTTTATTCAAAAAATTACTGACTTAAGTTAACTTACAAGCGCGCAGTCATGCTTGGAACTTTAATAAACAGAACGAAAATGTGGAAAACAAACAATATCGTAACCACTGCATTCCATTTGGATTGAAAAATTGTTTTCGTGTTATGTAAACACGCGCAGAATTCAAATTTTCAAGTTTTAAAAAGTTTAAATAACCGCTGTTTAAGAGTGGAAGAAAAATCGCTGACGTTGTTATGTTTTGATTAGATAAGCGTCGGCGACAATTTCGTGCTTGTTTGTTGATTTTCCACCGGCGTTGTTTTGGTTTCGGTTTTGGTCGAGCGAACCGCCTGATATCCGATCGTGAAGCGCGAGCGCCGTGGGAGAGTTATGTCGGAAATGTTTCCCATTCATTAAAAACCATTAGCGATTAAGCAGCAATTCGAAGCGAAGCGATTTTCGTCTTCCAATACACATATCGGTGCAGTATCGACAAGTCAAACAAACAAAAGTGCCCGTGCGCGCGCGCGGTAAGCTTACAGCGCATTCTATCGATAAATATTTTCCGAATGTCACAAGTAATGGATGAAAATTCGAAGCGCGATAATTAGTTCCATTTAGCTGCGCGCCGATCGGAGACTATCGAATCGTGACGCGTTGATAGGCATGCGTTAATTGAAAATGTTTAACGACGATTACCGAACGTAAAGACCGCATGACTGTCGCTAGAGGAAGTGTAGGGTAGTGATGCACCGGATGACAACGAAGGGTTGGGCTCACAAAACGCATTCCCATAACAAGCTGAAATCTGAAAGTTGTAATGTTTACCTGTTTAATTTATTCCAGCGCCGGAAAGTCAGAACACCTGCGTGAAAACTACTACCGAGGGAACTAAATTAGTGCCTATTTTAATTTTTGCTATTTTGAATGAGAATGAGATTTACATTGTAGTAAATGTAGACTATGTATCAATGAGTACAAGTCCGGCTTTGGCTTTAATTTAGTTCTTCCTGCGTCGGTTCAGCACGCACCAACACCACAACACAATGCTAATAGATGACTTTCTGTCGGGTGCCTCTTCAGCAAACACAAACACACATACTAATGTTGGTTACGCAACGCAGCGTGTTTTAATGAATGAAAATTTGATTCGTTTGCATTTTACGAGCAGGTAGTGCGTGAATTCACACAAATTATACATTTTTAGGTTAGGTTACCAACATCACGTGATGTAACTAAATCTGGGGGAATTTTGTTTGTGAAATCGTTTCCTAGTGAAATTTAAAACGGTTGTTGAAAATGTGCGTACAATATGTACGCTGATCGAATATATTTCTAGACTATTATTTACTGCAGTTATATTACCAAGTGTGCTGTGCTGTGTGTGTAAGCGCTAAGGTATTTTCGAAAAGTTATTTTCACTGCGCGTTTGACAATCTGCAGCGCACGTTTTCGAGCCGACCAGCCGCCGCTCGGTGTTGTTTTCGTTTTTGCTATGTTTTTCCCGAAAGTTAAACCCGGCTGTGTGTTTTTCATGATTTCACGGTAGTTACCAAAGCACGAATGCTGGTCGAAGGACCCTATCGGAACGTCTTGTCGACTGCTCGTTAAATATCAAGCTTATATAATTTATATTTATAAAGCTGCAGGCGATAGTAAAACATGTCCAACATCAAAATATGCCATGCTTTGCTGATTTACGCTAATTTTCGATAGTTTTACATCGCATTATGTATATTCGACCAGAGAGCAGTGTTGTGTTTAGTATCAGTGTATTTTCAACATTTCCACCGCGCCATGTGTGTTTTACTTTAAATCACAGCCTGATGTTAACCGCCCTGTCTGTCTTCGCGTCGTACGGCCGTATGGTGACTTTTAATAGAAAAACGCGCAATGCGCGGCGCGTGAGCTGGCAAAAAATGTCCAGCCAGGTGTGACAGCTGCGTGCGCCACTCGCGGTCCCGCGGCGGGTTTATTTTCGGGGGCTGCGCGCCCGCCGCCAGCCGCCACATGCGGACGTCTGTCAATGCGAGACGCGCACATGTCGACCGGGCGCACACGTGGTATATAAAACGCGCACGCGTGCGTTCCAGTCATCCCGAAATACTTCCACATCATTACAGAGCTAAATGCAATGAAATATTCACCACATCCAGAAGAAAAATCACAACGCGCAGACGTTTGCGAGTGGCTATGATGGTTATAACCTCAAAAACCATGACGTCATGGCGATATAAATTTAGAAAACGTTTAAAACAATGTTTGTAAATGTTTGCGCCGCGAGATTACTCACCAATGTGTGTAGTAGACTCACACTGGAGAGGATGAACCACTTGAATCAATACGTTTCGTGTCGAAAAATACGAAATTAACAGCACACCTGAGTACATAAATGTCACACCAGTGCGCATGCACTCTCAAGTGCACATCCAAAACCTAAGAAACAACGCAGTTGGTTTTTTTAGGTTAGGTTGCAGCAAGAGACGTGGAAAAAATGGATTTTCACGACGTGCGCATGTGTTGCGCGGCGAAGATTTATTATCCCTTGGCGTTTTCCGAGGAGAATAGAAAATTATTGTCGTACAAATGATAAAAATACATGCGTTATCGAATACGGCTGCGGCTGCTGCTGTAGCACCTGCTGCAACAACTGAACGGAGGCACTGATTTACTCGCCGAGACGACGCATTCGGCATTCAACAACCGAACATCTATTAGTCTCGCGACGAGGCATCATCATAGTCGTCGGACGCGGGTAATATAACCGAACAATTCCTCTCGACCGGCGTGTAATTAATGTTTTCACTTGTCTCGCAATTAGTTACTTTACCAGATCTACACTGTTGCGGTCCAACAATGAAACATCACAATATTTGGTGGAGGTGCCGGGCAAACAGACAAAAATATTCATTATATTCTCAAAAACAATTTATTTTGCGCAGAATTAAATTTTAATATATAATATTAAATTTCAGAAGGTGAAACAAATCCAAAGGGTAACTATTTACAAATAATTTCGTATTTCTCATCGCCTGATAAACAAATTTCCAAAGTTTTTTTCCTACTAAGATATAATTCTGTTCCTACTACTGCTTTCTTTGCAATATATACATTTATAATGTGTATTTACTATTAGTATTTTTTCTCTTTCCTCTTTTTGTTTGTACATAATATTTAAAAATATAGTATATTATACAAAAAACATCACAGAATAAAAAGTCACAAATTAATTAAAATTACAAAAAGTATTCCGTGCGTCCGGTGGTTCGAATCCTGTGAATTGTGACAAAAGTTGCAATGTTCGTAATTTGTTTTTCATAAAGTAAATATTAGGAGAAAAACACCCGCGTGAAAGCTGTGTGTACAACACTCTAGTCCGTAACTCTGCTCTCGCACTCACTTCCTGCAGCGCTCTTTCAATATACACAAAAATAAAATAAAAAAACAATTAAATAAAATCTAAAAAACAAATTGCAACATAAACAGGTACCATAACTAAGTGCCTTCGTTCTCTCCCAATAGATGAATAGTCTTTTTATCTGATTACATCATGTGTGTTTATGTGTGTGCTGTAATTTTAACTAATAAAGCAACATTCGAAGATTTTTAATTCTCTCAACGTTCGTAACACGCGCACAGCATCTCTCGGTGTCGTCCTCAGCCGATAGTTCTTCTTACGTTCGATCTATCAACACCTCCTCGGCGGTGCGTGCGTTCCACACGTCGTGTTAGGCAATCGCCACGGGACGAGCGTCGCGTTGTGGAGGAGTGTGCCGCCTCAGCACGAAACTGGTCTTCCATCTGACGGTGAAAGTTTCTCAGGTGTTGTCTGCAAACGAAAACGAAGCGTGTTAAAATAATCCTTGCGCGCGCAGCACACGTGCAAAATGTCAAAACGTCTTTGTGCAGGCGCTCAAGCTGACGCCGTGTGGATGTCGCGCCGCGAAAAGAAAAAAGGCATTGATGAGCACGCCGCGAACAATAAAATATTGTGCACACACATGTAGAATGAAGCGCCCCGGCTATAAATGTACATCCATCGGACAATATATCGCGATCTCTCGCGTCGCAGCGCCAGATGGTGATGATGGTATTGCACGTGTCCTTTGCAGATGTGCGCGGACCCCGTTATAATACCCCGCGACAGCGGCGGCGTGTATCCCTTTAACCAGGTGTCACTTTTGACTCTCTCGGTAGGCGCGACAATGCCGTCGCTGTTATTTTCGTCCCGCGGAACATGTGTGCAAGAAGCCCGTTCGCAACCGCACAGAAAACTGGGTGGGAATATAGTGGGACCTTTTGACCCGCGCGCAACACGAAATTACGAACAATCGCTCAGCGCCAGCCAAGCAAGGCCAGACACAATGCGGCTATTCATAATGGCATTCAACATTGTTACACGAGTGTTGAAAAAAGAGAATAGAATGACTATGCAATTATATTCGCGAGTTTATCTAATATCAAAATTCCAATCGAATAAACTTACCGTTGATGTGTGTACGATGGGTGCTTCGCTGGGCGTCAATATCGTATTGGGGCTGGCGCGCACGCCCAAGGGTTGTCGCGGACTCGCCGCCCCTTGACTCTTCTTCTGACCCAACACAGCGGCGGCATCAAATGCATTCACAGCTGGATGTGTCTCCAATGCGTTTTGTAAATCGCAGATGTAATCGATCACATATTGGATGACTTCCAGTTTGCTCAGTTTACGATTCTTGGGCATGAAAGGTACAAGGTCCTTTAATTTGCTAAGATACATCTGAATCTCTTCGTTTTCGATCTCGCGGCGGTGGCGGTGTGTCTGCACACGTCCTCCACTCACTCCGGTTAGTCCAGATTCGGGGCACAAAATGCTGGCGGCCTTCATGATGATTTGTTTCCAAACAAAACTGCACACAACACTGTTAAGAACAAACTTGTACGTCGATTATATTCCGTACGGTAGTCGCGAATGTCACAAGACTGATGTGTTGTGACTGTTGGAACACGAGTTAAAGTTGCGATATATGTGTGGATAGACGTACGTGTACGCACCGAACAGAAGCTAACGAGCAATGAGCGTAAACGCGATGCGCGTCTGCTTTTATACCGTGTGCGGGTGTGAGTGTCGCAGGAGGGGTGACCAATCACAGCGTCCGCTACCTACTAGGAGTGGGGACGCAACCCAACTTGCACGGCTTGCTACTATTTGCCTGCCCAAGTGTTCACGAGGTAGTCAAGAGCAATAAAACATTCAGCGTGATTTTTGGAAATTGCATACTAATTGTATACAGTATACCAGCGTGACGTCTTCTAATCTTTTCGAACTACTCATTCATGCTTTCAAATTTATGAATGCAATCTGATAAATGTAATCTGTACAAGGATTTGTGGCAAATCTTTAAAATTTCAATGAAATTTCCATTACTAATTACATACATATTTGTTAATGACAATTGTAGTTGTCTGCGTATCAAAATCGTGGCGCCATGTCCGATAGCAAACGAACGATCGTCTGACCTTTGCAACCAGCAGAAGGCACACACTTCTGTAAACAATATTTACTGTGTCAAACTGGAGGCATAAGTCATATTCCTAATGAACTAATCTATCAAAACCGGCGACCGCTAAAAAATAATTTATAAGCTCATAATCTAACCATTAACATTATGAAATTTCCGGTCTTGCCAATGGGAATTAATTTCCTGTCGATGCGCGCGGCGCGCTGTGTTTGTTTTTCAACTCGTACTTTTTTTTCTTTCATTTGATGTCTTCGTGTCGTCCATTCAAGCGGAGTGACCGGACACTGTCTATGAATGTAATTATATTGATGTGGTGTGTAATCACCGCTCTAATTTATGTTATTGCCGTCTTGTATTTGATAAAAAATAACATCAGAGCACACAAGTTGAAACACCTGAATTTTTTCGTTCGTTCTTTTCTTTCGTTTCCTTTAGTATCTTCTTTTTGAGATTGTTTCTTGCCGTGAATGTGTGTTTGCTGAGATTGTGATTTTCTCATGAGAAGAGAACACGCCGTGAGTCGTGAGTGTTATCAATGTAAGATTTGTGAAGTGGGCGGCTCTTAAATACAGTTTTTTTCTCTCCGAGGCGAGTTTCTCGTTTTCCCATTTGCGGAGATGTGTTAATATTTATGTCTGCACTGATAAGTTGGATACACTGAGCAACGAACGATAACATTCCAACTTCCAACGTGAGCTTGCATGTTTACTTGGGACGTTTTCTGTAATTTTGAAGAACTAAAACATAAATCTTTCACAAAAAATCTGTTGATAAATATTTTGAAGCGTTTTGAATTAATTTTTATCTTAGGAGATAATTTGTGGTTAAAAAAATGAAAAACTCACAAAATTAACCTCAAAACTGTGTTTCTTCATTTTTTCCTTGAAATAACAGCAAAACTTTACATATTCTTCATAATTTTTTAATGTTTCCGTGGGACCTAGCGGTTCTTAAACTTTGTCGATAATATTTCAACATTATCAGCAGTTATCTGCCAAAGAAGTCAAGAAATCTATTAGAAATGTACCCATACGCTGAACGTATATATAATTTAGTAGATAAGCAGACGAAAAGCCATAAAATCTTCGGCGAGGCAGATAAAACGTTATGTCGTATTCTTCGATTCAGCGTGTAATGCCTCCATGTTTACTTAAATATTGACTTAAGCCACAATTCTCATAATTATGCGATTACACTTGAAAAGCGAGAAACACGACGCACACGCAGCAAAATACAAATAACATAATCGCACATCTTCGACTCGCCAACTTCAGGTTTCACACTTTTTTTTTGCTTATTTTCACATAAATTCTCATCGATGTGATATGTTTTCCATACCACTCGTCAATTTCTAAACTTTAACTTTAACTTACTTCTCTCTCTTTGCAGCCGTGGGTTTTGAACATGTCATTACGAGTAACAGTAGCCGGGACAGCCAGCTCGACGTCGAAGAAGCTGCAGCGTCGGCAGATTTGAAATTAATTGAGAGGCCAAGTCGACTTATTAAAGCGCTAACGCTTTAATGCCACGCTTTTAATAAAATTATATTCGTGTGGCAGTTTCAGGTTCTCACGTCCACCATTAAAGCGCGATTGCGTTCTTGTGCTTCTGTTCTCACATACTTAAGTCGCTTTGCTCATAACGATTATGATTGCTTCGCTTAGCCGCAGAAGAAGAAGATGGAACTGGCCGGCAGCGTATTAGAACTGCGTTGCTGGTTTTATTTTCGTTTTTGATTAGCGTTTCGTTCGCCGTGCGAAGCTCTTATATTAATATTCGCTGATTATAAGGCGCACGAATATGAATATCGAACGGTTCTAATTAATGACGTCGTCTAACGAGCAAAGCAGTGCCACGAATACTGCACTTCCGTTATCGACGCTTAAAAGGACTTTTCAAATGTTTATTTTTATTAGTTACTAATTAGAAATGGCATTAAATTCAAAAGAAAATTAGTTTTTACATATTAAAGTAGAGGTTGAGGTCATTTGCAACAATTTGTTCAGTAATTAGTGGAAAATCGTTGTTTTAGTACAAAATCAGCAGTTTTTAGTAAAAATTTAAATCATTTTTAAAGAACTAAACTTGTAACAACAAAAAAAATTTAAAAATTTCCGTTAATAAAACAAAAATAAGCAAAAATGGTTTTTCACATCCCATAGAAAATTAAGTATAATTAATAATATCGCAGGGAGAATTCTTGTGAATGCCAGCAATTTGTGTATCTCTTCATAGCGTGCGAATATCGTGATTAAATCCCGCTGCGCGCACGCGCAATTTACTGAGTTCGGCAGCGCTAGCCTTAAATAGGCGTCTCTTTAATTTCATCTAACAACGTTTTCTCCGACCGTAGGAAATGCGCAAAACTAATGTACCTACGTACCTAAGATGCGTGCTTATTTTGCAACAGCGTTTCTTTTCTTTCTGATCGTCCCGATCACCACTTTGATGAAGCAACAAGTACCTACTCTTCTACGGCCAGGGCAAATATGTGGGAATCGTCGGCGCGCCGACTTCCACGCTTCTGCTTGCATGTAAATACGCGTGTAAATATGCAGGCGATTGAAATTGCGATTGCAATTAACCAGTTTTTCGTGTACGGCGTGTGTACACGGCGAGCGCCATTAAACCATTTCTTGTAATTAGCGTGCGATTCTTGTGCCGGCGACGAAAATCATTACAAATTGGCGCTGATTTGCATACACAGTGATAAAATACCTGCGCTGGCCAGGAAGTTCACTAGTAGTAAAACTAGTTGCGTTGGATTTTTTCTCCTCCAGTAAGTGTTCAGTATAATCACCTTAATTCTGGTTGTAAAGTGTTTATTGATCTATTTTGTTTCGTGGCTTTTCTAATCGCCAACGCATCCGGCTTTAATACCGCTGTAAGCGTGGTTTATTTTGTATTTAGTAAGAAATGTCTTAATGGTCTCGACCTGCGAGGAATTAAGTTTTCAGGTAGTTAATCGCTTCTTTTCGACGTTTCGTTTCGAGGAACTTGACTTAAATGAAATTAAAAGTTTTAACGAAAATAAAATTGAATCATCCTTCGTTACGTTTAATTATAATGCTGATGAGGCTGTGCAAGAGCGCATCGTTTTCATTTTTTCATCTTTGGTGGTCCTAATAAGCAACCTCAACATAATCGAGGGGAGGTAGCTGGATCCATTTACTCATGAATTAATTTCAGATAATTTATAACCTCAAATATTAAATTTTTTGTTTCTTCAGCGAAATTTTCAAAAATTTGCAACAGCTGATGTTTTATTTTATTTTTTTCAGTCGGCATATCTTTGTAAGTTAGCCCCTTGTAAGCCAACCCCATCGCTGGAATGCACAGACATGAGTTTGATTTTTTTAATTTTATTGAACATTGTGAATTGAATGCAAGCTGCTGTGAATTCAAGGAACGCAATGAATGAACTGCTGGGAAGACTTGGGAAGCACTCTCGGGGTTACATTGGGTTGCAACACGCAGCTAGGCAAAGCTTTTCTCACAACTTTTGCTTCACGAGAAACCGTGCGGTTTGAATGGGCACAGGTGCAGCGTACGTGCGCTACGTGCGCACAGAATGCATTCCAAATGACAAGATTTTTACGCTGTCATAATTTTCCATCACAAACACAATTACCTACCCAATAATATTAATATGAAGAAATTCATTTCATTTCAGTTGTTTATGACTGGCAATTTATTATTATTATTAAGACCACACAACACGCATGCTCAGATTATAATAATGATGATGTGCTCGAAAACGTGCAGCGTAATTTTCTTTATCGTATGCTGGCGCACAGAATGCATCCATATAATCAATTTACGTAATATTGTGTAACACAAATACGCAAATTGTCTGTGTGTGTGTGTTTTTTGGTTTTGTTTCGTTTATTTCGTGTTGATTTTACAGACTTTGCTCACCGGTCAGATTGCATCAGTTAGCATCAGGTACATACAAATAATTTCACTTATATCTTACTGTATAGTAACTTTTAGGTTGACTTATGCATATATTCTATGTACATCCTTAATTTAAGAATTTTTACGAATATTGTTTTGCGATAAAAATACACAAACACAAAACTGGTTATTGTAACATTGTAAGTTATTCGTATTGTTGTTTTTTTTTTCATTGTCATCGACGGTGAATATTGAACGATATGCAAATATGGAATCTAATTATATTCAAAGCGTTTCTATGCCTTCATTATAATTTGAAATAGAAAAGTTCGATAAAGTAAAGCGTAGTTGACGATTTTTTTGTTTTTAATTTCTTTTTACGTTTTACTCGTCTGAGTCTGTGTCGAATATTATTTGTTCGAATGGCGTGATGCAATGTGAGTTTTGTGATATCTCACGGCAAATATTTACCGCAAGGAATTTTGTTGGTCGAATTGAAACTTTTCTCATGCGAAAAGAGCCGAAATTCGCCCGATATTTATAATAATTTCTATCGCGTTGTTTACAAATTTCTTTTTTAAAAATTTTACATTTGCACTAAAACGTAGTATCACACACTTAGATTAATTATTTACTTAATACAGGGTGATTTCGATGTTTGTTTGAATTGAGATTCGTGAATATGTAAAATATTCGCGTTTTTTTCTCTTCGCCCTGAATAGATAGATAAAGTTGTAAAATGCCCATAAATCGGCAATAAAGACAACGTACGCATAAAGTAGAAAACTAATTAACACCTAATTAAATAACAAATATAATACAGATGCCGGTCGAACGCCAGGCGCGCGATGATGACACTTTTCGGCATAATATATAAAATATTTTATGAATAGGTACACGTTTTAATTAGTTTTAAGCAGCTACATTCGCCACATGTTCCCATAATGCCATTAATTAAGTTATTAATTTTGTGTTTAGAATGTTAAATATCAAATCGATGGATTTTTCAAGATTTTTTGGGTCACTTTGATCACACTTCACTGTGTCTCTTGCATTTTACAGTTAAACAACTTATCAACTAACGCGTATTCAACATTTGAGATTTGTCAAGACTAGTCCATGTGCATTACGCGTAAAATGTTCAGTCTATCGTCTGATCGAAGTGCGTGAGCTCGGCGAAACTTTGACTCGTCAATTGCGTCAGCGGCGGGCGAAATGTGTCCGCGAATGGCGTACCGCCCACGTGGATGATCCGCGGAAACGCAAAGAACATATCGACGTGTATCCGATGCACATCTGTGTTGGCCAGCGAGAGGTAACGCAGTTTCTTCAGGCTTTTAAAACACATCGGCGCTAGCGTAGTCAGCGGATTATCGGCGAGCATCAGTCGTCTCAGATTCGCCAAACCGATGAACGTAGCGTCATGGATTTCTGTGATACGATTACCGGTCAACGACAATGTCTGCAGAGAATGCGAACGCACAAAAGTCGCCTGACGTATGAATCGTATACGATTGTTGGCGAGAATCAACTCGCGTAGATTCACATTGGTGGCGAAAGTGTCATACGCCAATGTTGTCAGATTATTATCTGATAAATCAACGGTTTCCAACTGATGCAGGCCTCGGAATGCATCCACCCCGACTTTAACAATCGCATTACGAAATAAATAGATCTTCTTCACATCGCGATAGCGATTTTCCACAAAAGTGTAGTTATCCAGTTTCCTGATGTAATTATACGCCAGATTGAGTTGCAGTACACTTGTGCTGCCGACGGGGATGTGTCGTAGGTCAGCGTACATTCGCGTCACGTTTGTTACGCCGGTGGTACGTATCGAAGCTGCCCTAAAAAGTAAACCAAAAACTTATCACACTCGTTTAGATTACATCATGTTAGAGTTTGTCTAGTTATCGCCACGCTAACATAAGTCCATAACTGACCTTCCATCGCATGCTAGCCGACATAACCTCAATTCAGAGTGACATTTTAGGTTAGTTTGGTGCGATTGGAGGTCAGTATGGTTTTTGGCGGCCGCATGAAAAGGGGGCCCCCAAAGTTCAAGCCCCCGAATTTAGTAAACATTCGATTAGCGCTCGGCGCGCAGCTGAAAATGCTGATTGATACACACAGCAATAATATTCAATATACTCACTTCGAGTGCGGCGCGGCGCGGTCGGCAGCGACGACGAGCAACCACGCGAGGAAGACATGCAGCGTGTCCATACGCATCTTGCCGCTGGTGGTGGCTCACATCAGATAATCGCGATAATCACGGCGTGGTGTGTGCTGTGGCATCAATTAGTCGCCGCCGCATGGGGAGACACTGTTAATCTTCGCACTTTCGCACAGTCGCAGGTTCGACATCACAATCACACACGCGGACGTTGTTTTACGTTTCGCTGGAAAAAAAGCAACAGGGGACGATTGCGCTGCGGACGCACGCGGAGATTCAATGGAGGCGCTCCACGAATTGCTCGCTGACGGACGGAACGCGACGGACAGTGTGTCCGTTTGCGCGTTATCAAATCGCCTCGTTGCCGCTGCTTCGGAAGCTCGCCTGCCGTTTGCCTTTGCGTCACAATCATCGAAACGCGCGCATATTCACAATTTAATAATGTTACCAATATATACGAACCTACAATGTCCACTTGAATACTGCATACAGTTGAAATCAATATAAATCAATCACATCAATCAAACCACACCGACTGAACTCGAAAAACAATCAGACATATTCAAATCACTACTCCAGAACCACGAAAATGTATAAATTAATATATTATTATCATAATATATTAAATTTATATTGTTAAAGAAACATCCTGTATAACTGTAAATAATTATAAAGTCACTTTCATGCAAAGTGTTAAGTGTGCGATGTGTTACATTAAAATTTATTTATAAACTATACCGAATGTATAATGCAAATGCGATAAAATCAGTTCAAAGTTGATGAAAACACAGTGCGAATTATTCGAAACTATGACTGATTCATCAACATACGCGCGGTATATTTAGAACGGTTTAATTAACGCTCGCAGTGTCCATCGGCGGCGATTTTATTCGTTCGTTTTGATTAAAGCTTAAAGTCAAATCAATTGAAAGCCAATTGAGCGCTGCGCCAGCCACACACAGATACAGAAATCTCAAATGCAGATCAAGTATCAGAAAACGGAAGTCTTTACAGTTTGTGCACAAAAATGTGCACGAAAAATGTGCAGGACACAACACGCAGCGTCTTGCCGAGGTTGTGTAAAAGGGCCAGATGGGTTTTCTTAGATTTTTCGGTGTATGCCGCAGTAGAATACAATCCATTCATCGCACACTTGTGACCCAGCTGCGGGCCCGGTGTGTGTATATGTGTACATGCTCCGTGGGATTTGATCTAAACTTTTAACCCTCAATAAACACCCTTTAAGTTAAACACAATGTGCGACATACATGCGTGTACTTCCAGACGCAATACAAACCTTCTTGCAAGCAGAAAAAAAGAAAAAAAACATGTTGATTTTTATTTATTTTTAAGTTTTTTTTTGTCGGAATATTTTATTTTGCTATAAAGCGTAACTAATCTGAGTGATTGTTGAAGCGTGTCATATATTGTTATCTAACGGGAGTTAGATCTTGACATTTTGCATCCCTTTGTGGATCAGTTTTGGTGCCGCGTGGCGTGCATTCATTAAAATCGTGTAATCCAAGGGGCGGATGAACGTTTGTCTCATCAGATCTAATGAAGACCGCCACGTGACCAGCATAATATTAAAAATCTACCCTCATTGAACGATTTTAGACGAAAAATTCAAAATTTTTGTGATTTTGGACGTAGATTTTGTTGAGAAGTGGATTTATTGGAGATATGTTTTAATAAACCGTTGTGTGCTGTTCTATTGTGTATTAATTCGAATGTCGCTTTAATGTAGTTAGCAATCAGCAGCTGCGCGTGTCGCGATCGGCGCGAGCACGTGCGCAGGGTTGTGAACCGCACGCGAGATCCGTTCACACGCGCAAAATCTCCAGCTGACGCACAAACCACCCTTATCGGACGGCCGGCGCGAACTCAATATTATGATCGCCCTCTCTGTCGCGTCCGATTTGTCATTGCGGAGATTATCAACGCGTGCTTTCATAAACGACATAATGAACCGTCTTGATTCCTTCCGGAACGATTAATACTAAAACCAACATAATACTCGGCTTAAAACCGACTTTAATTTTACAAATGACAAATAAAACACTTAATAACATACAGAAAAGACCAGAAATGAAATTTTCTGAGAACACTTTCTTGAAACATTTGGCCAGGGTGGTAAACCCTCTAATATTTTAATATTTTATGGTTCATGTTTGAGTTGACAAAATGTGACAAACAGATTTTGTCCGAAAAGCGCCCGCCGAGAGATAAAACACGCTCGAGTGTTAACAATCTGCTGCGGATGAGAAGCAAACAAGCCTCACATGGCAGTATAGTATGCGTGCAAGATGCCAAAAAGTGCCTCAAACTACAACCAGCTGTAGACTAGCCTAACTGCACAACTATTAGATCTTTAGAACCACTTTGAAGACTTACATTGAAAAGATAAATGCATTCATTCATTGAATATTTTCATTTTCATTTTCGGCTTGCACAATTTGAAAACAGTTATTTGGTAATCAAATCACCCATTAGTCAATTCGTACAAATATTTTATTTTTTGTTTTTTGTTTTTATTACGATAAGTATAAGGCACAAACAGTGCACCTTTGTGGAACGTGTAAGAGGAAATTGTGTGATGAATTTTTTACACGTTGCTTTATGTTTTAACCGCAACGTCGGCGAGCAATTTGAGCCTGGTGAACTCTTGTGGTCGCGGTATTCCCACGAACTCCAAAGGCCACAATCACCGTCGCAATAATAATCAAATAATCAAAATAAAAGCGTCCATTTTCCATCTGCGAGCTTCACACTTTTTAGCTGCATATATTTAAACATGCCTTCTAATCCCGATTCTAATTCAATTGATGGCTTTAATCGACAGTTGTGTTGGATGTTTTTGTCCCAGCGATTGCCAAACGCGAGCCGCGTCTGTCGATGGCGAGCAATCTGTTTGGTTTGGTTTTGAATATTGTACTTATATCCAACGCGTACTGAAATGAGCATATGGCACATCAATACGCACTGCACGCCTTGATTGTGCAAACAATCAATTAGAATATTTAAATTTCAATCGGCACCGATATTCAATCAAATTAATTACTGGTGCTTTGGACACTGGACACACACGTTTTCGACTCGTCAATAATAAATATTATTAAATAACAATCGATAAATATATTGCGTGTTACTTTGGCGTTTTGACCGGTAGCGTGATATAAATATTTACGTTATTCAGATGCTCGCCGATTGGAATCATTAAACTTTAAAGCATTTAATTAGTGCTCTATAAATAACAAAATAAAATATTCTTATCGGAATTGAAATTTTTGAAAGTGTAGCATGTGACTTTGAGCATCTGTCATCTCATTGTGATGGCGGCGTGTGTCCACAATTGGTAATACGCGCAGCTTAAATAAATTAAGAGGAGACAATTACGCCGAAAGAGGCGGCGAAGGGCGCACGATTACCACGTGTGCCTGTATGCACACACGCGATGCCGTCCGCGTGGCCCAGACCACCGTTGTCGAAGAACATATGTATAAACATGTGCGCGGTCTTATGGGAAATCACCTGGTAAGGGTGTCCTGGGAATGAGGGTACGCACCAATTGCACATGTCTCCCTTGCGCCAAAAATCGAACTGCAATGCAAGCTGCGTAATGCGGCGTCCGCACACCGGGCACAACACCCTGTGTGCGCACCGTTGAGGAAACCCTCTTTGCGCGCCAAAAACCCACCACGGCGGGTGCGGCGCACATGGCGGGACCTTTAACTCGCACACCGGCGGAAAAACAGTTCCGTGAGGACATATGCAAGTCGAGGTACAGGGTGTTGGGATTGTCGCGTAATGAGCAGATGACGAGATCAAACAATGCACAATCACCCCTTGTACGCGCGCGACCAGCGCACCAGTCTTCATGTATAAATAAACGAAATGAATCCCAACGGTAATGGACATCTGCATATTGACAACGAATTGACAACACGCGACTGCACACGCGTATGGCATCATTAGAAAATTTCATTTCGCTTGATTGCTTAATAAATTAATGACTACCAACATAAAAATATGAAAACACGCAAGTTACTGTTTCAGTACAAGTACTGGTTGTACTCTTATCACATTAAAAGATCGTGGGATATAAGATTCTTACATTTTTGTCGTATTTAACGTCTGTCATACTTCATACTTCAACGTCTTGAAGTCGTTCTCATATTGTTGCCGGTTTCCGTGCTCTGTGCATTCCCATAACTTCCACACAACGATTGCATGATTACGGAACCTCGACGATGAAGACACCTGAGCGATGAAGAAACAGGTGCTTAGATTCCACACGCTAGAGGAAAGGAAAGCCGGAACTGTGCTCCGCAGTTTTTCTATACCGTGGTAGCTTCCCAAGGCAAGACGTGTAGAGTGTGAAGAGGTGAAGACACACACCGACGCCGCAGCTGTTTTGTCTTGTGCAAGTGCAATATTTACACGCTGTTACGCCGCCAACTGCCGGAGCAACTGCCCTCGAAGCAGCCTGCAGACCATACTTCCTTCGATTGTTAGCTCTTTCCTACCGGACAGATTACTATCACAATGAGAAGTTAAACTTAAGTAAAATTTTCAAAAAATCACTTTCAGTGTTTTTGGTTTTTGGTTGTTTCTGCGTATTTTTGTGTTCTACAAGTGTCATCAAGATGTTTTAAACATGACCGGATGTATTACTGAACAATATTTTAACAATGGAATTGTAAAGTTTCAGATGGTGCCACATTTGTCACTGAAAGAAAGTCCAAATTTGAGGAAACCTGATGTCGTCCAGATTTTTTGCAACTTCCTCTAAACTAAGACCGTAACATAACCTAACACATGTTTTCAACTTAACACGTTGAGGACGGCGCGGTTTTTGGGTGTCTGTCGCATCGGGCGGCGTTTGAGCATTTTCAACTCCGTCTAATTAATTCAGCTGTACGCCACTGGTGGTTATGCATTGCTGTATCAAAAAGCGATTGTTTTTGCAGTTGCGTCGCCATTTATTTATTTTCTTTGTAATGAATGCCTTTATCTTTAGAGTCCGACCGAAACTATGTGCGAACTGAGATGGCAAGTGACGACTACGACTTAGCCGCGAGTAAGCCGAACGACGCACGATAATTCACGAACACTGAGTTTCGGTTCTGCCAAAAGTTTCAGCCAATTTTTGACCGAAACCAAATTTGAAGCCAAAACTGAAACTTTGGTCGGTCACTATTTATTATAATATGTAATCTGAGTGACACATTTGATGACAAAGATGCAAGGCCCTGATTGTATAGGTGAAACGAGGAGAAGATATAACCTAACCAGTGGCGTAGTCAAAAATGAATAAGTCTCGTTTCAAATGAGCCGTGTACCACCGGTGGTACACGCCGTCCCACAGACCAGACGCGTGTGTACCACCG